TCGACAAAGGAGACTGAGCCTTTCCGAACACTAAGCAAAGCAATGTGTTGCTTGAGCATGCAGTATAAAAAGGGGATTGTAAGAGATTTCAAACTTTTTTTTCAAGACATTCTCTTATGTCTGTGATTAGCAGACATTGATAAGGTGTTTGACTTGTTGGTTCATTGCACTGCATGACTACATTTGAGCTGTGAGAACGCCATCATAAAGTGCTTTGGGCAACTTTGTTAGACTTTAAACATGATAAACCTTTTTTTTTTCTTGAAATGCTAATGATATATAGTAAAATAAGAGTTATGCACTCCCAAGAGTATATTCGCAAAAAAAAAAATTAAATATCTCCCATGAGCAGGAATATGAAGAGGGTAATGCTTACTTCAGCCCCATAACTTCACATTAGTACATCCTTTCTGCCAAGGCAGTGCTTTTTGTCAATGACTCAATGACACTCAATGTCTACCAGGGATCCTCCCCCTTGCCCTTGAAGTATTCTTATAGCAAGCATTGGAGATGTTAAACATAAAGCATTTTCACATCGAAAACAGAACCAATACAAAATGCATTAATTACATGACCAACCATTATGTCCCCATAGCCTCGGGTGACTCAGGGCCCCTAAACACGCACAACGACTTCAACCTATCACAGTGCGAGACAGTGATATCACTGGTGTCTATAAACTTGTGCTCAGCAGTGAAATGCCACAGCTGCTAAGCGACCACAGTAAATTTTGATGGCAAATTAAAGCACCAACATGATGGAGAGCAGTGGAGCACAACTCACCCAACTCTCATCCCTTCCTCAATGTCTGTAGGTGCCACGGAGTCAGCCAAATCAACCACAAACTTTGCAAACTGCTTGACATTGATGATGTACTTTGGGTCTTCACTGTCGGCATTTATGATCTTGGTGCAGCGGGCAACCTGCACATCATGGTATAGTGTTCAATACATGCAGTTATACAATTTCTAACAGCAGTTCTGTTGGAACTAAACGTTAAACAACGAAAAAAAAAAACTATTCATACAATCATAACTCGAATGAACAAAAGGTATAAAAAAGAGCGTAAATATGAAGCTTTACAGGTAATTCACGTGTCGTGTTCTTCCCTGTGTGACAGTCTTGAGTCTGCACTCTTCGATAATGTTGAATTTATGAAAGCTGACAGATTTGTAAATTATTCATAGGCAATTTTGGGCAAATTGGTACTTAATTGCATTATTTTGCTTGTGCAGATTCAGAACTGTCGCTACTCATATGTTCATTTCCCAAAATAAACATTGACTGGAAGTTAGCGCATGCTTCTGTCACTTCTAATAGTCCTTAATTGTTAACATTTTTTTATGGTGCAAAATTTTTCGTATGCAAAGTTGCAAAGCATGGTGGAAGATGCAACAGCTCGGAGCTGGCACATGGACATTCCTCTATTGTTGTTACTGCAAATTGACCACTTGATATTGAGAGAGGTTCCACAGCTGCAAGCACTGTAAGTTAGATGGTGTGGTAAATTCCACTCAAGCTGCATGATACTATATACTACAAAGGCGCTCCTTTAAATTTGATGGCATGTCAATTCTCTTTAATAATTAAGTCTATTTCATCACATGAATAAACAATGTTTGATAAAAAGTTCTGTCACAAACTGCTCAGCTTTCCAATTCAAGGTTGAGACAAATATATACGAAATTAAATGATACAAATGCAATCGACAGTAAAGTACAGTTTGAATGTGAACTATGAGTGATGTCAGTCTTTCCATATTCGTGCTCTTGATTTCAATTATGATTAATGATGTGTAAACCCATCCTGGAGCTCGAAACCACCCTGTGCTAAACCTTTCCATTGAGTGTTACTGCGTTAGGTACACGAAACATCTGACTGTAGCACTCGGCGTTTACCTGCAGAGGTTGCTCATTCTGAAGGGTCTGCTTGTCTGCTGCCAGATCCCACAGCGCAGGCGGAGCCAACCCTGTATCGGACTCCTTGATACCTGAATATGATTAAATAACTGGTGCAGCCGCTCGAAGCTGCGCGAAACTAAATTAAATGACGCTTCCTCAGCGAACTCACCAGTGAGTTCATTCACGCGCTTCAAGATCGACTGAATATCTTCCTCGACTTGCTTGATCGATTTGCTGTACTGCCCGGCACCCTGAAAACGATAGGATTCGACAAAGTTATTTGACCCGCGACTAAAAAGAAAAATAAGGCTACAAAGAAGAAGCTGCGGTCTCCTTACGTAAGATTTCAGTAGAGCGATGTCCCCTTCATCAAGAACTGCAAGGCAATTGAAAGAGTTTGCAGCAAAGCAGCGTACAGAAATTACTAATCAATGGCGAGTATTTGCACCACCGATGTCTGATTGCGCACGACATAATTTGGCAATATCACCGTCGACATAATACATGAGAATTCTAGGGCGATAGGAAACGGCCTCTTGAAGATGACACATCAAAACTTAACGCCATCAACTAGTAGCACGGTGAACTTACCTTTTATTTCTTGCTCTTTTTCCTCCTTTTCATCCTTCTTAGATTTACGCATGTCATCACCCAGATAATCAGGCATTGTTCTTGGTAGCTTCGGGGCTTCGACGTCACACCAAGATTTTAGTATATAAACCACCGCAGTTTACGCAGTTTCAGTAGTTCGTTGCCGCAAACCGCGTTTCGGACTTGATGTCCCACTACTAACTCAGGCTTGGTTAACAAATAAACAAAGTACAATTTATAGAGGTCGCTGCTTTCATACTAAAAACGGCTTTGATTTGCAGGCGATTAAATATTATAGCACAACAATTAAGTAATAACATTACAACATAATAGAGTCAAAACAAAACAACAAAAAGACATTCACTCACTAGTCAATCCTAACGCTGTCAAAACCGACGACAAACAAAACCGAAACCTTAATACAGCACCGCGCTGATGACGCGGAGTGCTTCTTTTACCTTCAAACATCGATCACGATTTCCTTAAAATACTTTTGAAACATATTTGATGTCACCGACACTCACGAGCGATTATGTTGTGTTTGTGCTCGCGTGACTGATTACATACCCAGGGCGCAATTTAAATTAATAACCGTGGCCCAAAGACACCAGTAGCCGCCAAAGTGTGAGCGCGTGGCTATGCTGTTAAGTACTGAAATTGTCACAAATGCATTTCTGACAATATTGCAAAATAATCTGGCTTTCCCTAGTTGTGTTTTTGACAAAATAAAGACATTTATGAGAAAATATTTAGAACATCAGGCTTTCACTAAGAGCCAACCTGGATATGGTGGTTCAAAGCCTCCATATTTAATGTAAAACAAAACAAAAATTATTATTTACCCAATAAGATGCCCAACAACGCAGTGAAATAGAAGAAAAATTACTGCTAGTTTACAACTCCAAGCCTCTGCAGGCATAAAAAAAGACAGTGTGGTGTAAATTTTGCAATTGTATGTGTGGGAAATTTGGAGCAGTGCAAGGACATGTTATGTCCTAATATACAGATGCAATTTATGCAACTGATACCATTTCCCTTGCGTAGATTCGCAAACCTGAGTTTTGTTGTTTAGTGAAGTTATGGCCAAAATCAAACAACACCTGCCAATGATAATCATAGGTGATTACCTTTTCTTTTATTGTACTTAAGAGATATGTCATTGCTTCGTTCCCTGTTAAAAAGACATCAAGCAAGGACTACTTTTTTTATAGGACTTACCCTTTCATATCCACATTTTTTTTTTCATTTTAGTATAGTAACAGAGCTGAGCTAGTTGCCAGGTATTATTTATAAAAGATTAAGCATTCAAACACACACACGAGAGAGAAATGAGGCTAACACAAATGATAGCTGTTACTCGGTGTTTGCAATTTCTAGACTTCCCTCTTATGTCCACATTTGTATGTCCTGCCTTAATTAGCATGTGCTGTGTTCTATTTATTTTTTCAGTGGGGTGTTTAAATCATGAATATTCTGCAACCATATATTTATATAAGGCTCCTGGAATTAGAGTTGTTCTTTGCTAATGAAATGTAAAGATAAAGACGAGTGAGTAACTTTATTATTTAGTTTCAGACAGCCATTACAAAGATATAAGTAAAGTTTTCTTCTTAAAGGCAGAAATAACATAGCCCATGATCTAACGACTATTTTTTTCTACAGAAATGGTCAAGAGAGTGCCAATTCCATTCACAGAATGTCTCACACAACTCATGATTTTGCAGATGGTCCTCAGTTTTCTGCCTCTGTAGACTTATTAGCGACCAAACATTTCACTTCCAGAGCACAATACACTGTTGAAAACTCATGTTGTGCTCTTTGTGGCCACTCACAGTATTACGTAAAACACAACTGTTACTTGTGTATTGGCAGGACCAGCTGCAAAAAACATTTAGAACTTTGTGAAAAACATAGTATAATAGTATGCAGCAAGTTCTCTATAAAATTTTGTCCTTAAAATTAATTTGTAAAAAGTAATGTTTTACAAGAGGTTCACAAAAGTAGAAGCTTTTGACCCAAATAAAGACCTGCTCACTGCATTCACTGTCCGCTTATATTCTGTGAACAAACATAACAGCCCCAGAATCACCTGCATTGTAAGGTTTGCTGCCGCTGTGTAACGCTATTATTTATTTCCACCTCAGGGGAAGGGATGTTTTGTTGCAGTTGGTTGCAAATATCTAGTAAAAAAGTTATGTGCACTATCACGAGCATAGCCAGAGGGTAATAAGAGGTTCCACTCTTCCCCACAAAAAAAAATCTTCAATTTTGCTAGCATATATATACACACACAAACATACATAAAGTATGGTTCAATCTCTCTACCCCCTCTCGAAAAAAAATTTCTGGCTACACCCCTGTGCACCATGCATGCTACAAATAAGTACTAAGAAATTACATTGTTTAGTCAAGTGGAAGAGGTAACTGGCAGTGGCTGTACAAATCAGCCGGTTCCTTCATGACACAAAATTGCAATAGTAAAATTGTGAGTAATGCCACAGACAATTCTGAAGTTTCAGAAAATTTTAATACACCACCTGCATAGAGGTATCATGGGACCATAAACAATGAAAGTCTTCCTGTCAAAATATTGGCTTCAGCAACATTCCCTGTTCAACAATTTTTCGTCACAAGCAAGCACAATTTGTGAGATTTTGACATTTCATCAAATGATATGTATCACAAAATTAAGAGGCTTTTGGGGTTACTTTGGTGCTTAACTGACTCTGACAAGAGCAGTCTTTTATGGATTGACTATATGGGGCTGTAAGTTTCACATCAGAAATTATTTGTAGCGTATTAAACACAGACACAAAGGAACACAAGCGGCGGTACATGAAAACTTGTTCATCATCTCCCTGTCTTCTTTTCTGTCAATGTTTCCTATGCTACAAATAGTTTACGGAGTCCTTTACGTTGTACATTATACACTGCCATTGACTTGGCTACTCTGAAAATATGGCAACTATATGCTAGTCAACTATAACAGCATACACAGTCCACGACTCTCATAGTCTGTTATTTGATAAATCTAGCTAAAACATATTAGTTAAATGTGAGTGTAGTAGTGGTGTCATTGACCAGTCCAGTAATAAGTGCATACACCTTTCAAGTAAATGGGTTCAAACTTTAGTGGCAGTGGTGAGCTTCGGCTGCCCTTGCACAAGTTGTAGACATAACAGCAAATGCTTACAGAACGTTGGCTCAACAAGATCCGCTCAACTAGTTCACAATGCTTTCAACCAAGCCAATAATTGCATAGGTGCAATACCAGCTGCAGGCTGGAACCTTTATTTAGAGCTTATTCCAGGCTTGCGCGAATATTTGAATGCCTTGAATATTCAACTGAATAATGCAGTATTCGAATTCACTTTGCATCGAATTTATATTATTAAAAATTTCGAAGTATCCAAGACGAACGAATAGGTGCATATTAGTCCGCATGTAACACACTGTAAAAGTGGTTTCGCTGCAGCGGAGAAGTGCCAAGCCATGAAAACACATATCCAGGAGAAATCTACACTGCTGCTAGGCCCCACTTCAAGGTTAAATTAGGTTCCTACCCTCACATCGATTCATTTTATGAGTTTACAAGCTCATTACACCAACTTATACGCTCCAAATAAAAAAATGTAAAAACATAACAAATTTTACAGGCTATCACTAGCATTCTATCAAAAGTCAAATCCTGCTACTATTCGAAGTTGTTCCCACTTCCTTTGATGCAAGAAAATGGCATATTCATAAGCCCTGTTACAAATTAAAAAAAAAATTAGTCTGCAGGTTAGTTTGGTCATGACAAATAAGCCTTTGTAATATGTGATATACATACTATTCGTATTTGATCCGAAATTATTCAACCAAAATAACTATTTGCTCTGATTTTGCTTCGAAATAACTTCAAACCTAAAATTCACTATTCGCACATGCCTAGTGAATACAGATATCTCTAAGATTCTTTGTACTGCAAACTGTTGCAGTTGGGTGTACGTAATAATCGCATTATACTCGGATACAACTGATGAAAAAAGCAGATTTTTACTGTCAAAGGACCCCTTCGGGCCAACGTTGTTGCGGCACTTTGTGACAAGCTTGGTGACACACTTTGAAACACTGCTTTGCAATTTCTCACATGACCTCAGCACGAAGGCAGTCTGCCGCATGGCAACAATGACACAACGATGTAATTAACTGAAGGGGGTTTCTTTGATGGTGAAAAGCTGCTTTTTTCTTGAGCTGTCTCCAAGTATAGAAAAAAAAATACCACAGGCGTTCTAAATCTATACGATATCAAAACTGTTAGGTATCGCACACTGTTCTACTATTCTACAACCACTTTTGTGAGTGTTTGATAAAGTACAGACAATAGTTCTCTCTTCACTACCCCTCTTTTACTAGGCAGCTGATGAATTATTTGCAACAGCATTAAAAGATCTCATTGCCTTGAATGAGGAACTAATTATGTATAATGACAGAGCAGTCTTTTAATGCAAATAATTCTAACCACATCAAGTACAGTGCCAGCCTGTTTTCAAAGCACCAGGCCTGTAGTCATGAGACATCTTTGAGAGACTGTAACGAATATGCCACAAGATGTGACAACGGGGCGAGTCGAACGCAAGTGGCGCAGCGCTATCAGAGAAGTGACAGCAGGGGACCACACTCATTTAGTGTTAACTGCGAATGCAGAGTGGAAAAGAGAACAATGGCCAACGAAGCATGCACTTAACTTTTCTTGACAAGGAAAAAAAAATGTTTAGCAAATAATGCAAGAAGTGTGACGCCTGTGCCAAGCCATAACTCCACCACCATTCCCAGTTTTCAACATAGAGAGGGAACCATTTTCTCAATAACCTATGCAATGAGGCGGTGCCAATGTTTGCATGCAATAAATAAAAACTGATGCTTTTGAAAGAAGACATAAATGTATATTTCAAGAATAGTAAAATTATACAGCTTTCATGGTGTTAACAGCCACCCGACGGAACAAAGATATCAGAAATAATGTCACAATTTTTTCTTTACACTGATATTGCGTGTTTTTTTTTACACAGTACGTACTATAGAGTTACACTCACTGGCACTACTCCGGCTTGGTTCATCTACTTGCAACACGCAGTTTAATGGCATAATGGCAGTTGCGAGCTAGCTTTTATTTTTTCATTTTTACGGCACACGGCAAAGATGAAGCCGAGGTTTGGGAGACAGTCTAAGAGAACAACGACAACTAAGTAATGCACATTACTGTTTTTGAATGCACAATGCAAAGGACAGAGAAACAAAGTTCCAAGCTTCTTTAATTACTGTCACCGTAAAAATGGTGGTACTGCACAGTACAATTACTCTAACAAATAAGCATGACGTCACGTGTATAATAAAAAATGAGCAATCTACAATGCAACAAGCTCAGTTTTATACAGAACAATTTTACAGCAGTACATTCTAAAACTGTTGTTTGAATGAACCGAACAGTGACAGGACAACGTCATCGTGAATTGGTCACAAGTAATGATCAACAACAGTCAGTCATGCAATTGTTCATGGTGCTACTTATCTCGGACTTCAAAGGTTACACGGTACAATTAGGTTAGCACTGATGTATTCAATGCCCAAGTAGAATTTTAGTTTTTTTATTCTACAAGTTTATAAAAAAAAGCATTTTTTCATTATTCGCAAGTTGAACAGAGACTACTACTACAGTGCCTTGCTCACATCAATAACCCTCGTCATTATAGTAGAAAGCCCACCTCTGGTTTGTTTCATTGTGAGTTCAATATGAACACTTAGACGATACAATGATCTTCACGTGAAAGTTAATCACGTGGCCATGGGTGGTATCTCCCATCTACAAATATGAGTGGACCTAAACAATATGCTTACATTCTTTTTCTTCTATAGTAATGCTACCATATACTATACAAGTTTTCAAAAAACTGCCTATCAACATTATATACATGAAACGGCGATGCTAAGATGACGCTGCTGTGCTCGGAGGCAATGCAGGGTGACTAGCATAGGGTGTCGTGGATGAGCTAAACCCCCCCGGAGTCCGCTTGCGGTGCTCTTCCTCAGTCTGCCAGGCCACTTTCTGCCTGTTCTGCTTCACAGCGTCATGAACACGGTCCATAATCATAGCTTCGGTTAGAACACCATCATCCGAAGCATATGCTGCCGCCTGTTGGGAAAACAAAGAATTTCAAATTAGATTCAAAAATGAAGTGAGGCTTATGGTAAGTCTTATACCAACAGACTACATGCTATTTACCCTTATAGTAATGAAGTTTCTCAATGTCACAATGTAATGCTGATGTCACATCAACACTTTTGATCACGATCCAGGTGGATATGAATTAGCCTCAATCCAGACAAGCTCCTGCTAGACGGTCACGGTCGGGATCTAATTTTCTTACAGTGATTGGGTATACTAGTACCTTCTGCTGCTTGCGTAAAGGAGCCACTCACTATCGAGAAATTCGATCCAGATCAGCCCCGATCGTGATCAAAAGTGACCATGTGACACGGGCATTAATTAAGGTCAGGTCAAATCAGGATCAAGATGACTGAAATCTGCGCATCACAATCTCGCTCAGTGATCACGGTTTGGTTGATATCTATGCCGTACTCGATCAAGATTAGTCAGGGCACAGTAACTGCAACATGCTACTTGATTGTGATAAAGAAGCCTTGATCGTGATCAGATGTGCCCTAACACCGATATAAGCGCAGTTACTAATACAGCCATTGTTGCCTTAGTGCAAGAGAAGTATTTTTGCATTTCCTTGTGTAAAGTCTCTGGTTGCGTAAACACTGGAGCAAGGTATATCATTATATATTGCTTCACAAATTATTATGTTTCATGGCAGCACTCCCATCCTACATACGAAGATGGGAGTCGTTCACTATTGTAAGCTATGGTTATGGCCGCACAACATGAGCAGCATTGACAAAACTGCCAACGAATTTATTAAGCTATCACTCATTTTGTTGCTCTAACAGTTGGCTGATAGTCTGTGAGACACTGCGCTTTTGAGGTGCAGGTGCTTTCCTGAAGTATGCATTTTATTGCCTCCCTTGGCATGGTCCATATTTTTTTCAGTTCAGTACTACTTGAGCCCAGAGTCTTCTTCAGCAGAACATAGCTGTGTCAAATACAGTGCCAGCCAATGCATGCTGTCCAGAGAGCAAAAATTAGTGTTCTTGCATAAGCAGCAGTGTCTACTGTTGTCTGGCTTCTTGTGCAATGAGATTATTTATTTGTAGGCTCGTGCAAAGACTCAATTGAATATTATAATATTCAATATTCACACCATATGGAATAATAGTATAGGAACATTTTGATTTTTTATAAACAAATTAATAGATATGGACCTTTTCCTATGCATAACCTGCCCGAAAAGACTGTTGCACAGCAGCACAGGTTATGTTGTTGTGAAGATGCAAGTGAAATGATGTTTCCGTATTACTCGAACCTCGAATCACACTTTTTTAATTAGAGTGGGCTGTAAGTGTCTGCTTCTGTAAATTTTAAAACAAAGTATTTTGCTATGTATAAGCTGTGATGCCACAACAAAAAACTAAGGGGCAATAAATAAAAGGGACATATATGAGCAAAGAAAATAACTGTCCACAAACACTGCACCTGGTTTGATGTATTAGACATATCCAAGCATGATAAGATAATTCTAAATCATACGGAAATCCCAACTAACTACTTGTTTCTACAAAAATGTTGCTATTTGCGCAAGTCAACATCATTTTCCACTGCCTAAAATATGTGTAGGTGTTGACACCTGTAACAATCAGTTGAACCAAGAGAAACCTCCACAGTCATTCAGTGTGTAATGCTATTGAAAACCGACTCATAATACCAGCAAGTATCACCCTGACACCAATTGATCAAAAGACAAAGAGATGCCATGCTGTACAGGGTAAATTCGGTAAATTTTTTTTCCTAGTACCTACCTACCTGCTCGGACAATCCATTACAAGTGAGGCGTAAACCATTCATGTATGGAAGTGAGCAATAATGTGGTGAGCACATAATAAAGATTGCAAATGAGTGCATGTCACCTCCTTTAACCCAGCTGCGGCTGCGCTGATTGTCTGTGAAAGCCGAGCAAACACTAGAACATGTGGCTTATCTTGGAGGTGTTATATCTGTCTGGTAATGGTTACATATCCCTCTCTTCTGCCTACAAACTAATGCAGACTCAGTAGAGTGATCGTCGCACAAGGCAAAATTTTTGGGAGAATACCTTGCAGTGCCACGGTTTCTAACTACTTGCAGATCACAATTCTTGCGCTGCCGGCCATGACCAAAGAATTAGGTTAAACAGGGCATACCTTGGTCACAAATGTATACGTTCAAATTACAGTGCATGAACTGCACAACAACATGAAGCCCAGTGCTTACGTAAAGTATCGTGAAAACTTAAAGATCATTTTTGGAAAGCACTCGTTTTTCCCCACTGCATGGTCTCCGGCCTGTTCTTGCCTACTTTGGTATTACCTAAAGTCGCCCATCAGTACAGTATACTGCATCTTTACTCTATTATTTCTGCCTGTACGTCTTCGTAGAAGCATTCCACCAAATGAACATCATGGCTAGACGTAGGCGCATAGGCCTACGTCTACCATCTTTATCTTGTACATTTTTAAACTTAATTAGGATACTTGCCACCCTTTCAATGATGCCACAGTATTCCTTCATGTTGCCAGCGATATTCTTGTGTATACCCCCCCGCCCCCTAGTTTTTTTTTTGTCAACAAATTCACGGTAGCATTTAACGTGTTCGTTCTTCAGGACTGAATAAAATGATACGCAAGAAGCCAATTAATGAGCTAGCAATGAGAGGGAAAGTACAGAAATTCAGAGTTTCACTTCAGAATAAATTTGTGGCTCTAAACGAGGTAATCGGCGTTAGCGTCGACACCACGAATGAAAACTTTACTAGTATCATCAAAGTGTGTGCAATAGAAGTTGGAGGTGGAGAGACGGAAGTTATGATAGGTGGAAAGACGCTGGAAGTTGTACAGGAATACGTCTACTTAGGACAGGTAGTAACCGTGGAACTGACCCATGAGAGTGAAATAACTAGAACAACTGTATCTCGCCGGTACTTACCTACGGAGCAGAAACCTGCAGGCTTACAAAGAGGGTTCAGATTAAATTGAGGACGACGCAGAGAGCGATGGAAAGGAAAATGATAGGTGTAACAAGAAAGCAGAGTGGATCAAGACGAGAAGAGAGCAGAGTGGATCAGGGAACAAACCAGGGTTAAGGATACCATAGTTGTAATCAAGAAGAAGAAATGGACATGGGCCGACACGTAGCATGTAGGCAGGATAACCACTGGTGATTAAGGGTAAGTGACTGGATTCCCAGAGAAGGCATGCGGGTAAGGGGGAGACAAAGTTAGGTGGGCCGATGAGATTAGGAATCTTGCGGGTATAAAGTGGCAGCAGAAAGCACAAGATCGGGTTGATTGGCGGACTATGGGACAGGCCTTGGCCCTGCAGTGGGCATAGTCAAGCTGATGACGATGATGATGGTGAAAACCTCGACACAGTGGTGTATGCATGACTAAGCAGCTCACCTGCCAGGTCACTCCCAGTTTGGCAATCTCACGTCCCGAAAGCCCTTCCGTGATCTGGGCTATATCGGAGCAGAGCTTGCCATAGTCGAACTGGGCCACTTTGAGCCTCCTGCAAGAACAAACGTATAGATTTTGCAGTATTCTTCGCATTTTACTGGATGAGTAAATTTTTTCTAAGTAGTTCGCTTGATGATAAATATTCTTCTCTCATTACATGTTCTTCCTGTTACAGGGGTTTATTGAGGTGTTCAGAGTCTGAGATGGTCCCCTTTTCTATAATTTTGCTACAAATAAAATGAAGCGAGAGTTTAAACCACAAGTTTAAGTGAGTCAAATTAGTCACTAATACAGTCTTTGGGGCATTGAAAGGAATGATGCTACAAGTGTACAATTACACCACATCCATTCCAAGACAGTTGCCTCTTTCAATAATCCAATGGCTCATAAACGCAGGCTCTCAAGGTGACAAACAATAGTGTAACTTGTATATGAACTTTGTATTTCAATAACCTGACCACATCATTGTGCATCATGGTATTATAATTGTTGTAATTCATAGTTTTTTCCCATGATTTGTAGACTTACCATGCGTATTGTTACTACTGATGTTGATGTATTGGTTACTATTGTTTTGCATGCTACAAATGATCAGATGGTGCTTCTTGTCTGTTTTATGTGTATGCTTTCCTGCAATGGTTTTGCAATGGTAAGATCGGCAGCACTACTAAATGATTACATGAGTCCCTAACGGCAACATACTAGTAAAGGGTATTAAGCAACCTCAAAAAGCTTCAGTTCTGTAATGAATACACAATAAGTGAACATCTTCACACCTTGCCAAACATGCAAACCAGCACTCATCAAAGGAATGCCACGAAGCCACCATGGTAAGTCATTCCTAGTGAAGGAAGCTGCATGGTTGGTTCAACCCTCACTGCTAAGACAAGTGTACACAATGACACTTGTGGGGGTGCTAACACTCCCTGTAATGTTGTTTGCGCCTCATGGCGCACGTGTCTCGCGCATAAGCCGCATTCAGGGGTGATACCTATTAAGCGGTAGGTGGCGTTGTGCTCGTGAGCATTTATCACTGCCGTCATTACCATGGTTAGAGCGGAGGCGCCGGCAGTGATGCCTGGCGGCAAGCCTTGGTGGTGGCACGGGAGAGATGAGCAGTTCTTTTTTTGGTGGGTGGTGGTTGCCACGAATGATTGTCTCTTGCGGTGCCATGGGTCACCGGTGCACGGCACCGCAGGGTGTATGCCGGGGGCCCTCGTGGTGAGCCAAGGGTTGGCGCCGCCGCCCCTTGATCAACACTCCCTTGAATTGGGAGTGTTGATCCCAATTGATGTTATCACTATTCGGCTGGCAATATCGCCGATCTACAAGTAGTTAAATAAATGTGTGTTGTTTGGTTCGTTCAGACCGTGTCTACTGTGTCTGTTCACTCTAAGAGCGTGGCGCTCTCTCTACTTCGAGACCCCACAAACTCACCTCTTGCCCTCAGCGGCCGGCTGTAGGACGAACTTGTCAAAGTAAAGGCGCACCATACGCTCACGTTCTTCCAGGCCAGGCAGACGGAACTCCACCATCTCATCCACTCGGTCACTCACGGCCCAGTCAAATTGCTCGGGTGTGTTGCTGGCGAGAACTAGCATAAACCTGTGTAACACCAACAATGTCAACGATGTCAAATGTCACCAATGCTGCAACCTGATACCGTTACTTATAAATGTTGGGCTTTTACACCAGAAAACCAAGATGCAACAAGTAGAAGGCTTAGAAATTTTGAGCATCTGGTGTTCTTTTACGTGCACCCTAATGCACGGGCTTCTCGCAATGTGCCTCAATTAAAATGCGGCCACCGTGGCCAACTTGCAACAAAGTACAGCAGACTCTCGATAGATGGAAATATCTCAAATGGAATTGGTGCTCATATGGAACAACTGCACCTAATGTGATTGGTTTCATATGTGAATAGTGCAACCCTGTTTCATCATCATCATCAGCAGCCTGACTACATCCACTGCAGGACAAAGGCCTCTCCCATGTTCCGCCAGTTAACCCGGTCCTGTGCTTGCTGCTGCCAATTTATACCCGCAAACTTCTTAATCTCATCTGCCCACCTAACCTTCTGTCTCCCCCTAACCCGCTTCCCTTCTCTGGGAATCCAGTTTGTTACCCTTAATGACCAGCGGTTATCCTGTCTACGCGCTACATGCCCGGCCCATGTCCATTTCTTCTTCTTTATTTCAACTATGATATCCTTAACCCCTGTTTGTCCCCTAATCTACTCTGCTCTCTTCTTGTCTCTTAAGGTTCCACCTACCATTTTTCTTTCAATTGCTCGCTGCGTCGTCCTCAATTTAAGCTGAACCCTCTTTGTAATTCTCTAAGGTTTCTGCTCCGTAGCAAAGTACTGGCAAGATACAGCTGTTATATACCTTCCTCTTGAAGGATAGTGGCAATCTACCTGTCATAATTTGAGAGTGCTTGCCGAATGTGCTCAACCCCATTCTTATTCTTCTAGTTACTTCAATTTCGTGGTTAGGCTCTGTGGTTATTACCTGCCCTAAGTAGACATAGTCTTTTACAACTTCAAGTGCACTATTACCCATCTTGAAGCGCTGCTCCTTTCCGAGGTTGTTGTATATTACTTTCGTTTTCTGCAGATTAATTTTAAGACCCACCTTTCTGCCCTCCTTGTCTAACTCCGTAGTCATGAGTTGCAATTCGTCCCCTGAGTTACTCCGCAATGCAATGTCATCGGCAAAGTGCAGGTTACTAAGGTACTCTCCATTAACTCTTATCCCTAATTGTTCACATTCTAGGCTTCTGAAAACCTCCTGTAAGCACGTGGTAAATAGCATTGGGGAAATTGTGTCCTCTGCCTTACACCCTTCTTGATTGGTATTCTGTTGCTTTCTTTATGAAGCACTATGGTAGCAGTTGATGCCTTGTAGATTTCTTCCAGGATGTTTATATATACTTCATCAACGCCCTGATTCCGCAGTGTCTGCATGACGGCTGATATTTCTACTGAATCAAACGCCTTCTCGTAATTTATGAAGGCTATGTATAGTGGTTGGTTATATTCTGAGCATTTCTCTATTACCTGATTGATAGTATGAATGTGGTCGATTGTTGAGTAGCCTGTTCGAAATCCTGCTTGTTCCTTCGGTTGATTGAATTCTAATGTTTTCCTTACTCTGTTAGCAATTACCTTGGTAAATAGCTTGTATACTAGAGAGCAAGCTGATCGGCCTGTAATTCTTCAAGTCCTTGTCATCTCCTTTCTTATGCATTAAGATGATGTTAGCGTTCTTGTTTACCCTGTTTGCCTCTCAATAAAGAAAACTTCTCTTAAACAGAAAAGTATATTTCCCTTCAGGTTGTGTTTAATGATAGTCTACTATATAAGGTATAGGCTCAGTAAGAATTTCTTGACAGAGAATTGAGGTGCTTGGAACATCTGTTATTTCACTAACACAACAGTAAAAGAAGACCTTTACATAGGAATGCTGCCACTCACTTGTTGGACTGCTCTCCAGTTCGATAAAGGAAAGCATTGAGAGTAGCACGAAGATCTTCACTGATCATTTCCTGGACAAAAAGAAAGAAACAGTGAACCAAATGCAAAACACTACAGGCAGGACCCCAAATGCATGCAAGCACAGGACACTTACTGAGCTGCGTTTCCTGAGGAACGCATCAGCTTCATCAACAAATAACAGCACTCTGGAAAAAAAAAGTAATGAGAACATTAATCGCAATCATACAAAACATTCTGGCCCAATCTGGCCTGTCTAAATATTGCACCATATCTGAAAAACTAAGACATGCTTCCGGGTAGTTTCGAAAAGTTGCCAGTAGGTGGCTTTATTAAGCTGTGATGGAAACTAAAAGCACAACAGTAGCATAGCAAGGTGGCTGCAGCGGAAACATGCGAAAGAGAGGAAACAATTGATACTCAAAACCAGAGCTATCGAAGTTTGTTAAACAATGAACACGACGTGGAACAACGACTGTTGGTCACAGCAACAAATGAATGGAAGGAACAATTTCGGGATGGTAATTTGTCTGAGGAGAGATGGCCTTTTTCAAGAGCCACACGGAGACATAGCACGAGGTCACAGAGGATGTGCATGCATAGTTGCACAAAACGGCAAATCCCTTCTGGAATATGTGTGGCTGAAAAGCACTGCTGCAACATATAAAATGAGAACCGAGGAAAACTTAATTTATTGATACGACCAAAAATATTTATAATGAAATATTTAAAGTTTTTACTTGAAACTTTTTCACAAAATGACTGTTATAATTACATTGAATTGGTGTATTCTGCAATGTCATTTACAGAATATTCAGCACACTAAAAAAAATGCCACTGCAAATTCAAACGTTTCTACTTCTACACAAGCGCATGATCTCCACTTACCCGCGCCTGCTAGTCTGAGACCAGTCAAAGACTTTGTGAACTGCAGACACACCTTCACGGCCCATTGGAGCCACATCACCACCACTCATGAGCGCATATTCCATGCCCGAGTGCTGAGCCAAACGCTGCAATCGACATATAAGCACAACTTTTTCAAACAACATATAGGTCCCTTATAAAATATACACATTGGACAGAGTAAAGCACAGCTGACAATACAAAGCCATAAAACGAAAAGCCATATAAGCCCCTTAAAGGCACAGAGCACAATGTCTTATATTACAATTTTAAGAAGGCAAAATGCATGCGTAAGCATAAACCTAAATGCACAGATGAGGCTGTGCCTCTAAGTTTACTAGGTCACTTTTGCTATTTCCATGCAAGACATATTATTTTTTGTAAATAGGCCCCACACAGCAAAAAACTGACCTTGGCAAAGAGCGTCTTGCCAGTACCGGGAGGCCCATACATAAGAATGTTCCTGTACATCCCTTTGTTCTTCTTGGTGTTTCTTGTGGCGATGGCAATATCTCTTAGCCGCTCCTCCAGCTTGGGCTGAAAGGAAATAAAACAAAACACTGAGCCATTGGTTGGCTTCCCACAATACCATCAATGAAAGTTACAGAGGGAGGTCCTATTCAAGCAGCGCGTCAGTGAGCTTTGTCAAAAACAGGTCAGTGATTTTTGAAGGAAACCAGTGGCGTTTTTCACTGGTCAATTCAGAGCAGGATTTCTAGCGCTGTGGCAATGAACCCGTATTGCACAGGTCGATCTGAAGTGGGTTCGCGCACTTTACTGGTCATTTCAGAGCAATTCACCCGGCGCTAGATTGCTCCCACTTGGCCCACCGCCAAGCTGTGGATTTGGCCAGAAAAAAGAAGGGCGGCATTCGTCAACTCCACCATTCTGCGAGCAACTGTGGCCATGGCATTCAGTGGTGACCAAGGTTGCCATCGAGAGGCACAGGGCAGAGGCAAGAATCGTTTCGGAACAGGTTATTGTGATGTGTAAACGATTAACTTCCAGTGCAACCTCATGCAAAGCATTCGCTAGTTCCCATGGTTGAAGTGGTTTCGTCAGCAATCTGAGTGCTTGTTTCAGAATTTTGGCTGCTGCCTCGAATCTCCCAGTGAAACATTTCAAAAGCGTTGCACATTCTGAAAGGTTGGTCTGGTTTAAAGAATTTTATTAATGTGCAGGAAAATACATCTGACTGATGTGCCACGGGAACATAGCAGGTCCTTGAAAGAAATACTCAATTCACCTTAGACAGGAGTTTTTTATGACTGTGTAATCTTACGAGTGCTCAGGAACATTGAGATTTTGTAGGAGAATCGTAAACAGAAGAATAGGAAGAGGCATTTAGACATTGAAAAAGGACTGCATTAGTGAACTTATTTGTACTGAACTCTTAATTTGTTTGACGAATAAAAATCTCATGTTTTATGTCTGGTACGTGAAATGTGTTAAATGGGATATAATAGGGCTCAGTGAGGTTAGGAGGACAGATGAGGCCTATACGGTGCTACAGAATGGGCACGTCCTTTGCTATCGGGGCTTGGCAGACAGAAGAGAACTGGGAGTGGGGTTCCTAATTCACAGAAACATAGCTGGCAACATAGAGGAATATTATAGCATTAATGAAAGGGTGGTAGGTATTGTAATTAAACTGAATAAAAGATACAAGATGAAGATAGTACAGGCTTACGCACCTACATCCAGCCATGATGACGCTTCAGTTGAAAGCTTCTATGAAGACGTGGAATCGGCAATGAGTAAGGTAAAAACACAGTATACTATAGTGATGGGCGATTTTAATGCAAAGGTAGGGAAGAAGCAGGCTGGAGACCAGGCAGTAGGAGATTATGGCATCGGCACTAGAAACGCCAGAGGAGAGCTACTAGTAGAATTCGCAGAACGCAATAATTTGCGGATTTTGAATACCTTCTACCGAAAACGAGAAAACTGCAAGTGGACATGGAGGAGCCCTAATGGCGAAAATAAGAACGAAATAGACTTTATAATGACCGCACACCCAGGAATCGTGCAGGATGTGGAAGTGGTTGGCAAGGTACGATGTAGTGACCATAGAATGGTACGGTCTCGAATTCGCCTAGACTTGAAGAAGGAACGACAGAAACTGATACGCAAGAAGCCAATCAATGAGCTAGCACTGAGAGGGAAAGTACAGGAATTCAGAGTGTCACTGCAGAACAGGTACTCGGCTCTTAGTGAGGAAACCAACCTTAGCGTAGATACAATGAATGATAATCTGACGAGTATCATTACGGAGTGTGCAGTGGAAGTTGGAGGCAGGGTAGTTAGACAGGACACTGGCAAGCTTTCCCAGGAAACGAAGAACCTAATTAAGAAGCGTCAAACCATGAAAGTGTCAATTACAACAGACGAAATAGAACTGGCAGAGCTTTCGAAGTTGATTAATAGACGTAAAGTATGCGATGTAAGAAGGTATAACATGGAGAGAATAGAACACGCTCTGAAAAACGGAGGAAGCTTTAAAGCAGTGAAGAGGAAACTTGGGATAGGCAAAAGTAGGATGTATGCACTAAGGGACAAAGAAGGCAAAATAACTACCAATATGGATAGGATAGTTAAAATAGCGGAGGAGTTTTACAGAGATCTGTACAGTAGCCGAGACAACCACGACCTTAATACTATAAGAACTAGCAGTAACCCAGACGACACCCCACCAGTAATGATAGAAGAAGTCAGAAAAGCTTTGGAGAGCATGCAAAGAGGCAAAGCTGCTGGAGAGGATCAGGTAACATCAGATTTGCTGAAAGATGGAGGACAGATTGTGTTAGAAAAACTAGCCACCCTGTTTACGAGGTGTCTCCTGACGGGAAGGGTACCAGAGTCTTGGAAGAACGCTAACATCATCTTAATACATAAGAAAGGAGATGACAAGGACTTGAAGAATTACAGGCCGATCAGCTTGCTCTCTGTAGTGTACAAGCTATTTACAAAGGTAATTGCTAACAGAGTAAAGAAAACATTAGAATTCAATCAACCAAAGGAACAAGCAGGATTTCGAACAGGCTACTCAACAATTGACCACATTCATACTATCAATCAGGTAATAGAGAAATGCTCAGAGTATAACCAACCACTATACATAGCCTTCATAGATTACGAGAAGGCGTTTGATTCAGTAGAAATATCAGCCGTCATGCAGACACTGCGGAATCAGGGCGTTGATGAAGTATATATAAACATCCTGGAAGAAATCTACAGGGGATCGACTGCTACCATAGTGCTTCATAAAGAAAGCAACAGAATACCAATCAAGAAGGGTGTAAGGCAGGGGGACACAATCTCCCCAATGCTATTTACCGCGTGCTTACAGGAGGTTTTCAGAAGCCTAGAATGGGAACAGTTAGGGATAAGAGTTAATGAAGAATACCTTAGTAACCTGCGCTTCGCCGATGACATTGCATTGCTGAGTAACTCAGGGGACGAATTGCAACTCATGATTACGGAGTTACACAGGGAGAGCAGAAAGGTGGGTCTTAAAATTAATCTGCAGAAAACGAAAGTAATGTACAACAACCTCGGAAAGGAACAGTGCTTCGAGATAGGTAATAGTGCACTTGAAGTTGTAAAAGACTATGTCTACTTAGGGCAGGTAATAACCGCAGAGCCTAACCACGAGATTGAAGTAACTAGAAGAATAAGAATGGGGTGGAGCACATTCGGCAAGCACTCTAAAATTATGACAGGTAGATTGCCATTATCCCTTAAGAGGAAGGTATATAACAGCTGTGTCTTGCCGGTACTTAGCTACAGAGCAGAAACCTGGAGACTCACAAAGAGGGTTTAGCTTAAATTGAGGACGACGCAGCGAGCAATGGAAAGAAAAATGATAGGTGTAACCTTGAGAGACAAGAAGAGAGCGGAGTGGATTAGGGGACAAACGGGGGTTAAGGATATCATAGTTGAAATAAAGAAGAGGAAATGGACATGGGCCGGGCATGTAGCGCGTAGACAGGATAACCGCTGGTCATTAAGAGTAATTAACTGGATTCCCAGAGAAGGAAAGCGGGTTAGTGGGAGACAGAAGGTTAGGTGGGCAGATGAAATTAAGAAGTTTGCGGGTATAAATTGGCAGCAGCAAGCACAGGACCGGGTTAACTGGCGGAACATGGGAGAGGCCTTTGTCCTGCAGTGGACGTAGCCAGGCTGATGATGATGATGATGACGTGAAATGTATGATCATCTTTTTGTAATGTTTTCTCACCTCTCAGCACAGACCCTGTACTTATAACTGTGTGTTTCGAAAAACGTTTTTATCAATTTTTTTTAACATAACATAACATAGGATGTTTCTGTAACCCAATATTTCTGTATCATTTTTTTTGTGCTATAGGTGAACATCTGAACAAACCAGACCATCATAATATATGTACTTTATGAATATTACTGAATAGTGTACTAGCAACTATCCAAATACACATTTCAAACAAGCAGGAAAACAAATAAAAGTGAGGCAAGCAAACCTCCCACACCCGTAAGACACCCACTGTGCTTGTTTTATAATTTGAATAATAAAGTAAAAGTGGCAATGACTGTTTTCGAACTTAAGAAATCGGAGCATATCTGAATTCTAAACACCTTAGCATAATAAGTGAGGGAAACATGGGCAAACTTACATCAAGCACAACACCTTTGAGCGCATCAGTGGGCTTGCTCGTGAGCTGTCGGACCGTGCGAATAGGGTGCTTGATAGCTTCCATGACTGTGAGTCGAGAGGTGTCGCGCACCAGCGACGGCTTACCTAGGCGTAACTCTACATATCGCGCTGCAATGCCTGTGCCCAATTTTGCCGAGTACACACCAAGGGCCAGCAATGTCACGCCAGCAGCCTGCAGACAAAAGAAACAAAAAGGTACCAAAATAAAATTTACAGGAAACAGAACATGCATACTATTTGCTCAGTATCTGCCACCCTAGTGGCTTATAAAACCTAGATTTACCGTCGAGAGCATGGCAGTAGAGCTTAAAAAGAATAGTTTTTCATGCTACGCTTGCGATCAATCTTGCCAACGAGATCTGTCTTGATCTCAAATGGTCACATTACAGCGACTCTTATTGCTTTTATTGGAAGATGCTGCCAATCAGTATTCAAGACTGCTGTGATTATGTGATAAATGCCCGCAGTAGGGAACATGCAATTTTGTATTGCAGGCAGCTACAAATAACTTTCTTGACAAACTGCAGTGCTTAAAGTGACAGACACAACCAGATCCGGTTTCATGATCCCAAAAGTATCCTCGGTAAAAATGTCTCTTTCTCCGGAAACAGCAAAGAAGCAACTATACTCCTAATGCTTCCCGTTCCATTCCATAATCACCCAGTTTTTGTTTTGTTTTCTGCTACGTTCATGTGAGGTATCCTGCACTATACTACTGTATGTGCTATTTCAAACACTATGTGCCTGAGTGGGTCAGATGTCTGGCACTGAACCCACTAAGACAGTACTTACTGATTCATAACATAGTTTCCTGAACAACCGGTGTGCATGCCAGTGCATTCTATCTTTCAACACAACTTGAAAACTAGACACCTCGGCAGATATCGATTGGTGTTTAGCTAATTTAAAGCATTTCAAAATGCGCAATGTGCGTTTGGCTATACTATCCATCGGTCAACCTAAGCATGACAAAACTAGTGAGCACCAGATGTGCACAGATATAGGCCTAGCACAAAGAGTAGCTTTGCAGCACCGTTATAACTTGTTAGACCTATACAATTTGCTATAACTGCTGCTTGGGCGAGTTGGTTCTTGTTTAAGGTGGATTTACCAAAGCCAGAAGACGAAACACTTGAGAAGAAAACACACACAATGCTGTGTGTGCAAGTTTTCTTAAGTGTTTTGTGTTTTTATGCTGGCAAATATAAACTATACACTTCCTGTCCTGAAATGACTTGGATTCAAATTTGAGTTTGGCTAGCTCAATGATGGTCACCACTATGCAGATGTGCTGAATGACTCGAGTTTCAGCAGTTAGCTTTTTCAGCATAAATTTAAGCAGTGTATTGGGGGGAATCATGACCCCGCTTGCACAATCAGGAGAACAGGTCAGATATCGGGAGTGTCCCACGTGAATCTAGAGAGCTGGCACGTATGTATTTAAGATTACTACTTGGTTTACAACTGCAGTCAAACCACTACTTTAAGTGAGAAAAAAAGAAGCCGGTATGTTTATATGTACATGAAAAAAAAAAGAAAAAGATAAGAACGAAAGAAACTGAGCTCTCGGCAATCATCTCAGCAATCATTTTATTTCAAAATATCGATTTCAAGCCTCGGCCTCCAAGCTCCTCCGTCCCGACCCGGTGCTCAAATTTAACATTCACAACATGTAACGTGAGTGAACAAACAATAAATGTTTGCCATCTTCGTTTCTTTCTGTACAAAGCGCGAAATTTGCAACAAACTTACCGTGGCTGACACCTTGTCCCAGTCAGTGATGAATGCTTTAAATCCTTCGCCAAACACTGCACCTGCTGTCCTACAAAGACCATGACAGAAAATGTTTAATGCTTTTGAATGTTTGGGTTCAGAACACTAATGCGCTACTTTCTTTTATATCACCAGAATGGATAGAAATAACTAAATCAAACTTCCATAATGTGAACAGTCGTTCTTATACCTGTTTCTCTCTATATTTATAACTAACTGAAACTCTCCAGAACAGTAAAAGCTGATTATATTTGGTTTTCGCAGGACCAAGGAATTGTCCAAATTAATCCGATTCCCAGTATTATAGAGTACCAAGAAAACAATAAACAAACGTTTCTTATCTCAATAGACTTTCATTTTCTCGACGAATACGCAAATGCTGAAACTGACTCTGCATAAGAGCAGTGTAAAAGCTGCAGTTCTTGCCTTCGCAAACTAGTTCACAATGTGACCACAGCTCAAGACCCACCTTTCTTAGTTCAAAATGTACTGACTCAAAATTAACCCTAAACGTCGTTAACGTTGTAAGCACTGATGATGACGACACTGCAGACTGTGCCACCTCGTCTCAGTGGTCCGCAAACGTCATCGTAGTTCCTCTGCACCACCCATTTGCGACAATTCACGCTCGATGCGCTCCGAGAATTGTCTGAATTAACCAGGTTGGAACTTTACATGATGAAATTAACGAGAGTTTAATGCCATTGAACAATACACAAGCTTGCCAAGACCACAAAAAACAACCAAATATCTGATTTTCTTAATTAACAAGAGCCAACTTAACAAGGTTTTATGGTAATACTTTTCTTAACTAGTGACTTCATGTTTACGTTAAAAATAATATGGTGCATTAAAAATGATATGGTGATATGTTTACATTAATAACATGTTTTTGCAGCTTGCTAATGCTACACTTAAAGGAGTCCTGTAACACTTTTCCAAGTAGCCATGGGATAGGCTCACTACAAGAGTTTATTGCCTCACTAATTCGCCGCCGCAAAATCCATCCAGTACAAGAGAGTCACAAAGATTCGTTGCACACTGCAATTGCATTCTGTCATTTCTCGTCTCGACGAAAGCCATGGAAGCTAAGACGGGAAGAGTGGCACGAGGGAACGTCATGCATGTGTGACCTTGACCACTTTCCTCTCCCTCTTTCTTTTATCTTCGAGTAAGTGGCTTTTCAGTGCGATCGCACACGGGCACGTGGACAAGTTGTAGCCTCCGGCGGCAGCTCCAGTAACGACCGAGCGCACTAGGCTCAAATCAGTCAATGACTAGCACTAAACTTGGCACAGTGATTTCATGCCCATAGCGTCATTTCTCGAAAGAAGAAAAAGCGATTTTTTAGCTGACTTAGAGAAATTATTGTAAATTCCAGGTCACATGCTGTGTTATAAAATTTGGCATGCGTATTCTCGGACGCCTTGACTACCTATCAGCAGCATTTTCTGACCACGCTGAAAAAAAAGCAAGGCCTCTTTATCTAGTGTTTCATGCTTACATTAAAATGAATAATTCTCTCACTCTGATGCTTTTCCCTGTATACTTACAAGTAAATAATATGGTGTTACAAGAATATGTGTATGCACATGATGCATTTTATGTTTTATGAATTGGTGATCATTGGACCCACAACTAGCTTTTGGCTATGAGTCTAACCAGTTTCATTAACTCTGTATGTTCCACGCCTACAAATGAATAGGAGGTGCTCACTTGATTGACTCGAGGACAGTGGCCCTGTTTTCGGCAGCCTTCACCTTGATCTGTTCGATGTAGAGGTCCTGGTTCTCACGGTCAATCTTGGCCTTGGCTCGAAGCTCAGCCTCCAGCTTCTTCATGTCATTCTTGTGCCGCAGCTCCATTTCGTGCTCTATGGTAGCTGCACACACAATTGAGAAGGATAAGAGCACTACACTACACATCAGTGCTTCGTTAAGGGGCACAATGTGATTTCCAACATGAATAACACATGTGGCACCTTTCCCTTTCTGCTTTCACAGGTGCTTGCTTACAGACACCATATCATTGAGCTTACACCGTTCCAGGTTGATTGTGTAGGCTTGTGCAAATATTCATATTTTTAAACAGATAATGCAATATTTTTATTCACTTCAAATCAAATTTAAATTATTGAAAATTTCGAAATTTTTTAAAACGAACAAATAATGAACAGCATGTAACATTCTGTAAAGCTGGTTTCACTGCAGTGGAGGGGTGCTAATCAGTGAGAGCATCGATATAAATGCATATTAGTTCGCATGTAACCTCCTGTAAAAGTGGTTTCACTGCAGTAAAAATATGCTAAACCATGAAAGCACATATCCAGGGAACATCCACTCTGCTGTGACACCCTCCTTCAAGGTCAAATGAAGGTGTGATCTTCACATTAACTCATTTTTTAAGTTTAAGATCTTGTTATACAGATTTATATGTGCTAAGTATTATAGATTTCAAAATGTAGCATATTTTACAGACGGTCACCTGCACTCTATTGAAAGTCAAATCCTGCTAAAATTCAGTTGTTTCCACTTCCTTTCATTTAAAAAAAATGGCATTTGCACATGACTCATTTGAATTAGAAAAAAATATTGTGCAGGTTAGTTAAGCCAAGACAAATATGCCCATTTTTTGTAATATGCAATATATATATAGTATTCGAATTTGATTCGAATTTGTTCGACCAAAATTTCTAACCGCTTAGAATCTGAAATTTACTATTCGCACAAGCCTAAAAAAAACCCATACCAGCTGATACTGAAACTATGTCCTGCAAAGTAATACATGCACTTCAATAATGCGGTCATTAAGGTGTGTCCCCATATGTCTGACTGCACTGCTTGCCATTATGATGCAATCACAACACTTTTTGACAGTTACTAGTCACACTATTTCCGAGATTTTTGTGTGTTCTCAGTTGGCAGGCATGGCATTAATGGTACGAAACTAGCTTCTCATTTACCATCTTCATATCACTGTGCTCAAACCATATAGCTTGTTTGCAAACACATTGGCGTTCGGATACTACGAAAAAAATGAATTATCACTTCTTCAACATAAAAGTATTACATCATTTTTATCAGTAATTCTAAAAAATACCCCACAATAAATGGAAGGGAAGAACATGAAGCCATTACTTTTGAAGCCATATGATGATCAATTCCCATCCAGAACAGCATTCCTGATTATTTTTATTATAATAGTGCAAAAATATGCAATATTAACAGATGACCTTACCTCTCCTTAGGGCTTCTTGCTTTGCGACTGACTCCTCCTGCCGCTTCAAGTTTTCCTCATTTGCTCGTTGCTAAACAATGACAAAGGAAAGGCTATGAACTACAGCTGAGGAACAAGAGCTAAGGCAAGCCGCAATGAAATCGGAGATCATACCTGTTGCAGCAGTTGGTCATCATAGCGCTTCCTTGCAAGCTGGTCTTGATATACAGCCCTCTGTATATAAATAGAACATCAATGACCACCTCTCAAATTTAGATGTTTATCCTTTGCAACATCACAGCGCTATGCATGCCAAGAAACTTGAAATGTCACAGAAAAGATGTGATTTGTTCGAGAAGACTACCAATATTTGCAAGGACACAAACTGAGGTCACACCAGCCTTGCGGTTTTCAGTGCAAAGTAAATTAGCCTACTTAAGTGCTTCAAAGGGCCCTAAACCGTACAATTGAGTTGTAGTGTTGCAACTGTGCAAGAGTCTGCAATAAAAACAAAGCTTGTTTTTTTTTTACAAAATGTTGCCGTAATAGAAGAGTTGCAAGTGTTAGGTGATAGAAAAAGAGGTCCTTGCTCGCTTCATTCTTTTCTTCACTATGTTCTGTTTGTCGGCTCGTTCCTCCTCCTGGCTGAGTGCTTCTCCTCGCCATGTGAGGGGAAAAAGCAGTGAGTGCACATACGAGTGTGAAGACAAAAAACAGGTTCTTTTGTGGATGACATGCGGAGATGGCGATGTCAATGTCATGGCAAACACTGAGTGTATGAGGATTGCCGAAAGGCCTGGGGAGCAGACTGGATTGTTTCTTGTGGGGCACCCGCGGCTTGTAGCATTGCCACATTTGGCATTCTTGATCATGATGGTATTGTAAATTTGATGCGTAGATTTACTTCAAATGTTAAGAAATTACTGGAACTAGTTTAAGGGCCCTTTAACAATGTCAGTGCCTTTGACAGCTTGGTAATAACCCTTCCTATTTCAAGACACAGTAAGCAAATACAGATATACTGAATAAAAGGAAAAATTCATGGTTATCTTTCCACGACATAAATTGTGGTGCACTCTTGTAATGATTTCACCTATGACTATGTTAGAGTACTCAAATGTACCAACATGATTTGACTGTAAAAGGTATTTTAGTTGCCCCAAACAGGCAAACAAGGCCATTAGTGACAAAATAAATCACTAAGTTTGGTAGACTTGTACTGTGAACAGCACTTAAGTGGGACTTGTTGGTGAACACAAGGACTTTATAGTGCTACAACATGTCAATATCCAAAAGGCGCCCTCTTTCTTTCTTTTTCATGGATGCTCATGCAGCACATTGAATGTGCTTCAATACCAAGCCTCGAATTCAGGCCACGTCATCTGCTTTGATGAATTTCTCAGTTGCTCAGTGACCTGGCTCACGCAGCCACCTTATTGATTTGACAACTTCTGATGCTTTCAGTGCATCCATTTTGCACTTCCATGAAGTTGCATCGTGAATGACGGCTGCTTGGCCTGGCAACACTGGTAATCAACGAACACAGATGAAGGCTGAAGAATGCACAACTACAGCAGAGCCTGCAACAAATATCAAAGCGTAGGAGGTGGCTCAAGCCATGTATAAACACTGACAACAACATTAAGAAGTGCAATGCTGTCCTCTGGAAGCGACCACTATGTCAGCAAGCATCACACTGATGAGCTTTCTTTGCAACACACCCTGCATCATAGCAACACGATAAATCGAGAGTGGCACTGCATAAGCACACTTGTGTTGGAAAGTTGAGGGCCCAGGCGCAGATAATGAATTGGCACATGTGGTGCGCCAGACCACACACAAGTGAAGAGGCCCAACCTTATCACTAACCTGTTGGTGCTGCTTCGTTTCCTCAGACAATGTCTTTCTCCGCTCTTCCTGCTGCACTCTGTGGGCATCAAGCTTGGATTGTTCAATGTGGGCTTCAAACTCCTTAATTTTCGTTTGATGCTCTAGTTGAAGCGTCTTTTCCTGCATCTTTGATAGCTCCAGTGCCTCTTTTGCATGGCCTAGCGAAGTTGAAACAAGCAAAGAAAGTGACCAGTGAGAACTTTGTACAAATAGCACACAGCAGTTATGTGTGTTGGTTTATTATTACCAGTAAAGATTGCCAAAAGCTACAAATACAATGTAATTTCATCAAACTGCAAAGATCAAATGATATTCCGAACTCGTCTAATGAAGGGCTAATACACAATGAAGTCAGTAACGTTATGTTTCATTTAAAAGAAACTTACTACGGATATAGCAGAAAGTAACGGCCAAGCTTTCCTTCTTTATGATCAGCAGTTTCTTCTAGATAGAGCTCAAGTATCAAACAGAATTGTGAAGATTACAAAGTAAGACTTTTTTTATGCATTTGCAATCTTCATGTTGAGAAGTGAATGCAAGTAATATTAAATTTCCATGGAGTTGTGCATATAGCTAATGAACTTTAGATATTTACTTTCATGGCTGTTCCGACCCAGAACTGCGATTGTCTCTAGGGGTGGCACCACAATTTTTTTACTGGTGAAGGGGCACCCACGACAAACGAATTCTTTCAAAAGAGAGGGGGGCTTTGTAACTTAGGTGCTTTGCTTTGAATATATTTGCTCTTGTGGGGCAAAGGCGGAAACCTAAGGGGGCAGCAGCTCCTCCCACCGTTGGTGCCTTTGTTTACTGCTACTGTTGCTGCCAAGGACAGTTCGCCATGGCATGGAGAGCGAAAAATGCCCATTTCAAGAAGGTGCCCGCCTTCACACCTTCCGAGAAATAATTTCTGGCTACGCCCCTAGTCGGAGTGCCTACACTGTGGTGGCTTTGTCACAAGCAGCAAAATTGCCCATCCCTTTCGGCACTTCATCGTGTGGCTAATTGCCGGTTGGCCGCCAATTTTAGCTGCGTCAGCCTTCACGGTTGCGATATGCTTACACTTTTTTTTTATCTGACAAATACATCAACGTATTGTGCATTGAATAAGATTCCACACTCAGAAAAATATACCACCACCAAATCTATGATTCTCCGGTTCAGTAGCCAAACAACATCAGACACGGAAAAAGTTTTATGATGCAAGACCGGCGAGAGTAAGTTGCGGTTACGAGAGACAAGTAAGATCCCACAAGAAAGCTCACTTAGGTTTTATTTTGTTCTGGCGAGTACTCACGCGATGCTTCTAAATCACGCGCCGCCTTGGCCGCCCTTTCGAGAGCGCTCGAGTCAAAGTGATAACCCTCCATCCTCGATGACTTCTTGCCGTCGTCTCCGCCGCCACCAGCACCGGCGCCGCCGCTCGGGACGGGCACACCGAGGCTCGAGAGGTCCGGCATTTCCCCGCCGCCTGGTTGATCCCTCTTGATCCCGAATAACCACGACATTTCTGGTGAATCGCGAAGTTCTGGTCGCTAAACTCGAGCCGCTCCTCCGAAAGTTCACCGGGGAAAACACGTGCGCTTCGCGAGCGCCTTTGCTGACCGGCTACGGCAGCGACTACGGGCGACTGGTGTCGGCTTGACTTCGCCAATTAAAAACTAATTTATCCGCTGTGATCCAGCGCGTCAGTGCCAAGTCACAGTAAAATGTTGATACATTACCACGTAAACCAAACCCAATAAATAAAAGGTTATCTCAAATTTACAATATTGGTTAAAAAAATGCGTTATTCTCTTTCATTAAAATCCGGAACTCTTAAGTACTTCAACCTAAACGTAAACATACTGACCTCCTAAACTATTTCCCGTTGCAAAATTTATTATTAATAAACTTGAGTGATTTTTCTGGCGTGTATTGAACACAGAGCGACAAAGATTAGCGACCGCATCAGCTTGCTTGCGGAAGAATGTGCTGTGCAGCGGCGGAGGCGCTGGTTGCTGAACGCGTCGTAGTGATCAGCGCATGATGTGCTCGAGCAAGGCCATTTCGGCGCCTTCTAGCTGCTTACGCTTAATTTAGCCGCCGTGGCCCATCGGCTGCAATTATTTGATTGCCGGTGCTGACCACTCTTTAGATAGCCTTCAGATGGATTTGTTCAGCGATCTCCCCGAGCCAGGTATCATTTGGGAAAGCCTCTCGGCGTCGGTGTACGGTTTCGTTCACACTTTGTGTCTCGGATTTTTATGCTTTGCATTAAGCAGAAAGCGTGTCCAAGGCTGTTCGGCAGGAGCCCGTGGCCAAGGAGATCCGCCGCAAACTGATCACCAAGGCCCAGAACGACGCACTTTTCGACGATCTGCCGTCACCGTCTTCGACCGAGCAGGAGGTTCCTCCACAACCGATCAAAAGGCCCCGGGATGACGAAGAGCAGGAGGACGCGCAGATCAAGAGGCCCACACAAAGTACTAGAGTACCATCTACAAGCTCTGTTGCTTGCTGATTGAGAACATCTCTTCGCAGGTGTCATCACGCTCCGTGGCTTCGTGGCGGAACGCAAGGGCGAGCGGGAGGACATGCAAGATGCGCACGTCATCCAAGATGCTTACCACGCAGACATTCCTCAATTGCACGGTTCCATGTTAGTAACCGCGTGGTGCCCCTTCGGGCAGTTTCATGAGCGTTTCCTTGTAGACGACCGTAGTAGTGCGCCTTGTGGATGTGACTGGCATGTGTGTGTTGTTGTTAGCAAAGGGAGCGCCTAACTGCGCTCTTGCCGGACAGTCATACTTTGTAAATCCTAACATAGCTGGCATCTAGATATATTTTTTAAAGCTATTCATCTTGTAAGTTGAGCTGAGCCTATATGAACCAGATAACTTATTAGAACATTCTTAGTGTTCCATCTTTCTTGCGCTGGTAAATCTGGCTCAAACATGGACTAACTCACCCAAGCAGCAGTTTTAGCTAAGAACATCCCCACAAATAAAGCTTGGAATAACAGATAGCGGGACTAGTTGGTACGAATTCATTCTAAAAGACACGACATGCAAACATGGACAAAGAAGGAGTCAAAGTATCACAAATGCCTGGTGTCTTGACTTCCTTCTGGTGTCCATGTTTGCACACCCTGTCTTCCGGAATGGATCTCCTCAAGGCCCAGAAACCACTACACATCAATAGGTGAGCAACAACTGAGTTCATTTATCGTCGGTAAATAAAAGGCGTTTTAGCCCGTTAGTCGAGCAAACATTAACTGGTAACGATTTGGTTGACTTTCTGTGAAACCAATGCTGTATGGAGCAGTCAGAGGAACCACTAACGCAATTCTTTCTTGGTGTTGCAGATGTCGGCTTGCATACTATGCTGTCTTTGATGGGCACAATGGTTCCCGAGCGTCACGGCATGCAGCTCAGCAGCTGCACCGGCAACTTGCCACCCGATTCCCGAAGGGTACTGCCTGCCTCCTCCCCATTCTTGTCTCCCTTGCTTAAACTCGTAGGGCCCAAGGTCAGTTTATGTGTCTACATGTTCTCTTGCTTCTCCCTCGGCAGCTGCACCCACGTCATTCATACACGGCAGCGAGGTAAAAGAAAAACTACTCTTTGAGGTCTATGGGACACTGCACTCGTGTGTTGTGCTACCACATTTTTGCATCTTCGTATCACAATGTAGCTGTAATCTTTTGTCGTACATGATGAAATATAGGTGGACTGAGCAGTTCGAATGCAAACTGTGCAAACTGTTGTAAAGTGCGAGCCTATACTACATTTGATTGCACCCGACAGTAATGTTTCCTGGCACATATATTTATGTAATTCGATATGCTATGAAATGTAGCTAGTTTCATATTGAGTATCAGCATACACTTTATGTTCTGCTTTTTAAATACATTTTGTTTGCTTAGTATGGCTGGTATATTATATATTTGTACATTATTAAATGTTCTCTTAAATGTCTCTGATAAAACCTATTTGGTGTCATAGTTCATGCCTTAAAATGGAAGTTCAACACTGTTTTGTAGTTGCTTATTATGAGCATTGTGCCTTACTTGGTCCAGGGCTAGAAAATTTGTTGTAAAGTGTAGATTGACATACTCAGAGGACTTTGAAAAATTCAGTACACTTATCAAGACAAAATGACACATGAGTTACCAGTGGGGCGAGACGGGAATTTGGATAGGATACTCTGTCACGCAGCCTTTTATTAGTGTAGGCTCAGGCTGCTACAGCATTTTTTTTTAATGTTAAGGTTGAAGTATTTATTTTAAATTTATTTTATAACTTTAATGCATCCCTTAATCTTGATTTCGTTTGAGTTGAGAATTAATCTGTGTTTGTGTGACATTAGAGCCCCATTGCAATAGTGAGGAGCATTGCTGTTCATTGCCAAATGAAAAGCATCATTTCATCTTGAATGAGTTGGCTTCACTTAGCTATTGGCTGAATAAAGGACTAAATGGCGTAGGCTGGCTGTTAGCTTGTACTAGGCTCTTTTCAAGCTGCACTACGCTTGATTAATACGGTCATACCACCCACAATCATGCACTCTCTATATGTTGACGATCTTCAAATCGCTTCTCGTGCTTCTAACCTATCAACATGTGAGAGGCAACTTCAAGTTAATATAAACAAACTAACACTTTGGGCTGACAGAAATGGCTTCGGATTTTCTACACAAAAGACAGTTGCTGTGGTATTTACATTGAAAAGAGGATTATTTCCAGACCCAGAGCTTACATTAAACAACATGGCGATAATGATAAAGCATGAACTAAAATTCCTAGGGGTTACGTTTGACAGTAAACTGAACTTTCTTGCTCATATTAATGCACTCAAAATCAAGGCCAATAAAACGCTTATTACTTTAAAGGTTTTATCCCATAAGAATTGGGGTTCTAATCGATTATGCCTATTGAAGGTTTATCGTTTCATTGTGCGCAGCATTTCAGACTATGGCTGCATTGTTTACGGCTCGGCCATACAATCCTACATTCGCCGTCTAGACCTCGTACACAATTTCGGTCCGCGTTTATCAAATGGTGCTTGCTTATAGAACATCCCCAGTCCAGAGTTTGCACATAGATTGCAATGAACCTCCGCTATGCCAGCGCCGCATATTTTTAATCCTCTCTTATGTTTTAAAGATTAGGTCACAGTCTCAACATATATGCCACGACATCACCACGCAATGCCACTCATGCTTATACTATTCAAACAGGCCACACCTCATCAAACCATTGATTTTACGCTTCGAAGAGCATTGCCGCACCTACAGTATTTGTAATGACGCACTGAAGGTCGCCATCAAACCACCGAGACTGCCGCCATGGGCTGACCGGACGCAACTGTGCGATTTTTCACTAACCCGATTTAAGAAAAACGACAGCGCACCACAACACTTAATTCAAGAATTCCACGCAATCCAGGAAAAATACAAAGGTTATACCGAAATTTACGCAGATGGCTTGAAAGCAAAACACCGTGTTGGCATTGGGATTGTGACAGAAGAAAGCACTGTCAGTGTCAGACTACCAGAGTGCATGTCCATTTTCAGAGCTGAAATGTATGCCTTATGGGAAGCAGTAAAAAAATCATCACTGGGGAATACAGACTAGCAATGATATTGTGAGGAACCGGTTTATTCGGCCAGGCTCGAGCTAAATCATGCTGGTGATGATATTTTTAGATGAAGAAGATGTACAGGTGATGATGATCACAAAGAGAATAAAGAGTCATTCGCTTGTCGCGCTCACACTAATTCCCCCGCGCGGTGAAAGCGGCCGCCTGGTCGCTTAACAGTATTATGAAATGCGTCGCGCATAAGGCTTTAAACGAGATACGTGCACTATCTCTGTTCCTCGGCAACGATAATCAGGACTAGCGCTTAGAGGAGAAACGCGGTAATTGACAGGAGATGTCTGTTCGACCACCGTGTATGGCCCAATGAAGCGACTGATGAATTCGTCGCATAGGCCGGGGACGCGTAGTGAAGTCCATAGAAAAACTTCGTCACCAGGGCAAAAACTCACAATACGGCGAGACGAGTCGTAGCGAGATTTTCGAGTGTCTTGAGAGAGGCCGGTGTTAACACGGGCCTGGTGACAGCAGTGTGCGAGATAGGAATTCTTCAGAGAAAGGAGCCGTCGAGGGTGCAAGGGCCGAAAGGAAAGAGACATCCAGAGCGAAACTCGGCGAGCGACCATGGACGAGAAAAAATTGAGAAAAGCCGGTAGTGCGTTGAGCAGCTGTATTATAGGCGAATGTCACGAAGGGTAGAATTGCATCCCAGTTGGTGTGGTTGGGGTGAATGTACATGGCGATCATGTCCGATAGGGTCCGATGAAACCGTTCAGTCAATCCGTTGGTCTGCGGGTGGTAGCTAGAAGTGGTCTTGTGAACAGTGTTCGAGGCACGCAAAACTTGCTCGACAATGGAAGATAGGAAGACTTTGCCACGATCACTAAGGAGAATGCGTGGAGCTCCATGACACAAAAAGATGTGGCGAAGAAAGAAATCGGCGATCTCAGTGGCAGTCCCAGATGGTATAGAAGCTGTTTCTGCGTAGCGGGTAAGGTGGTCGACTGCCGTGACAATGCAGCGATTTCCATTGGATGATATAGGAAGAGGGCCATACAAGTTGATTCCAACGACTTCAAAAGGTGTGGCGGGACAAGGAAGAGGTTGTATCAAGCCATCCGGAGCAGTTGTCGGTCGTTTTCGCCGTTGGCAATGGACACAGGAGGTGACGTACTTAGCGACGGCTGAAGAGAGGCCAGGCCAAAAACGACGGCTTCGTATTTTGTCGTAAGTCTTGTGGTAGCCTAGTAGAGCAGCGGTTGGATCATCATGAAAGGCTTCCAGAACTTCACGTTGCAGAGTACGTGGGATGACGGGTACCCACTTGTTGCCATCGATGTGGTAAATGTAGCGACATAAAGCATCACCGACAAGCTTAAATTGTTTAAGTTGTCGACGGAGTCTGGCGTTTGGAGGAGTAGTAGAGCCGGTCAAGCGGTCAACAATGGTGCGGCAGTATGGGTCGACACGTTGTTGTGAAGCAAGGACGGATAGGGTGGCAGGTGATGAACTTAGCGCTGCGATTGGAGAGGTGCTGTCGTTTTGGAGCATCGATGGTGAATTGCTTCCGCTGGTCAAAGGACAGCACGATAGAGCATCAGCATCTTGATGCTTCTTCCCAGATCTGTAGGCGACATCGAAATCATACTCCTGCAAGCGAAGCGCCCAGCGACCAAAGCGACCCGATAAGTTTTTCAGCGATGAAAGCCAGCATAGGGCGTTATGGTTGGTCATGACGGTAAAATGACGGCCGTGAAGATATGGTCGGAATCTTTGCACTGCCCAAACAGCAGCAAGGCACTCCTGCTCGGTGATAGTGTAGTTCTTTTCTGGAGCGGTAAGAGCACGACTTGCGTAAGCAACGACGCGTTCGCGTGAGTTTTTGTCACGCTGCAAGAGTACTGCACCAAGACCATGACTACTTGCGTCGGTGTGAAGGATGGTGGGTGCGGTGGAATCGAAGAGGCACAGTACCGGATCTGACGTGAGGGCTTGCTTCAATGCCGTGAAAGCGCTTTCGCAGTCTTCGGACCAAATGAAGGGGACGTTCTTTGCGAGGAGTTGATGGAGCGGAGACGCAAGTTCCGCGAAACCACGTATGAAGCGCCGGAAGTAAGAAGATAACCCAAGAAAGTTACGCAGGTCCTTTTGACGTAGTGGACGAGGAAAATCGAGGACAGCGGCAAGCTTCTCGGGGTCGGGCCGAATTCCTTCTTTGCTGACAAGGTGGCCGGGAACCTTGATTGTCTTGCTAGCAAAGGTACATTTCTTGGTGTTAAGCTGTAGACCGGCTTTTGCAAGGCATGTGAGGACTTCGTCAAGACGTTGTAGATACTGCGAGAACGTGGATGAAAACACTACTATGTCATCAAGATAGCACAGACATGTTTTCCATTTCAAACCACACAATACGCCGTCTATCATGCGTTCGAAGGTGGCGGGTGCATTACAGAGTCCAAAAGGCATCACATTGAACTCGTACAACCCATCTGGCGTTGAAAAGGCGGTCTTCTCTTTATCAGACTCCGACATCGGTATCTGCCATTGAACTCGTACAACCCATCTGGCGTTGAAAAGGCGGTCTTCTCTTTATCAGACTCCGACATTGGTATCTGCCAGTAGCCTGACCTAAGGTCGAGGCTGGAAAAATACTATGCGCCCTGTAATGAATCTAGTGCATCGTCGATCCGAGGGAGGGGATAAATATCCTTGCGCGTTATTTTGTTTAGCGCACGGTAATCGACGCAGAAACGCACTGTCCCATCTTTCTTTTGAACGAGAACAACTGGGGATGACCAGGGACTCGAGGAAGGACGTATGATGTTGTGCCGTAGCATGTCTGAGACGTTTTCCTCGATGTTCTTGCGTTCTGCCTGAGACACGCGATATGGACGCCGATGTACAATACGAGAGCCATCAGTTTGGATGCTGTGAGTAGCGGTGGTAGTCATGCTGAGGGCGGGCGAGTTCACGTCAAATAGAGAACGGTGTCTATTTAACAGGGCGAGCAAATCTTCAGTTTGATCAGGTGTTAAGTCATTGCTTATTGTTGCCGACACAGGTGTGGCAGAGGCATTGAATGGCAATGATTGCGACTTCGGAACATCGTTGTGGTTGTTATTCGGAAGAGTAACAATCGCAACAGGCTCACTGTCGACCGCGCAAGATACAGTTGAGCCACAGGGGAGCAGTACACACTCGGGCGTTTGATTTATGGCGGTTAGGTACGTACACCCATCGAAGAAGCGAATAAGCCCCGGTGGGATCACAATGCCCCTACGTAGGGTATGACCGTAAGGGAGAATTAGTACGTCGCCATCCACAATGTCGGTGCAATTAACACTTATAATTTCTTCGATGTATGGCCGAAGTACATAATCTGACGTGGTGACAAGGTGGATGCGTCCATCTTGTTCAAGCGGAGAAGAGTCAGTGGCACTTGTCATGTTTCTTCTCAAGCGGAGAAGAGTCATGACATCAGCGCAGGAGGCGCTGATGACATGATATTGAAGCGGACGCAGAAGACAAGAAATCCCACCCAAGAATGAGAGCGTAGGTGCACTCACGAAATACCGCGAAAACAATGTGATCACGAATGCCTTCTATGCAGACACGAACAGTACACTGTGCAAGTGGACGAATGAGAGCGTTGGTCGCCGCACGTAGAGGTGGGCCGCCATAAGGTGTGGTGACTTTTCGAAGGCGGGAACAAAAATCAGCACGAATAATCGAAACGGCAGCGCCAGTGTCTACAAGAGCCTCAACACGTACACCTTCTACAAACACTACTATCAAATTCGATGGCCGCTGTGGAGGAATTGTTAGCTGTCCAAGGGATGCAGTTTCCCCTCCTAAAACTGCATTGGGGAGTTTTCCGCGTGGGCGTTCGTGGAATGGGAGGCGGGCCATAGAGGCGACACTGAAGGGCGACGTGGCGAAGGCGACCTGCGGCGAGACGTACGGGAATTCCCAGGCATGTCCGTATGGTAAGTAGGTGACGGTGAACGGTAATAGGACGATCGGGAGGGTGGCCGTAAGTAGTTCATGGTCGGACGGAAGCTTCGATGTTCTTCGGGAGCGTAGCCGCGTTGCTCGTTTTGTTGGCGCCTTCGACAAAACCGAGCGATATGTCCTCGATAGCCGCAGTAGTAACAGATTGGTCGAGGTGGGCGCTGAGGTGCGTAGTAAGGTGGTGCACGCTCTGGCGGTGATAACGAAGCCACAGGCGTATGGTCTGCTGTTGTAGGCACTGAAACGGTGGGTGCGGCAATGAGCGCGGCAACTTCGGCGTACGTGCGCGTGTGGCGCACACAGGGACTGTTGGAACACGTCGCACGCGATGCTGAGGCGATCTTTTGTTTAATCAGGTCTCGCAAGCTATCTTTTTCAGGAGGTAAAGTAACTTCCGCAGCACAGGAAGAGCAGCGCCCGTGCAGCTCTTCACGAACGATGTCGCGAATAAGCGCAGGCAAGTCGAGGGGTGCAGGCAAACGAACGTCGGTGACATCGTAGCAAAGGCGAAGAGACTGAAGCTCGTCAAGTCACTGACAGATGGTTATCACGTCCTGGGTGGTGGCAGGATTTTGCGTGGCGAGGGCGTTAAAGGTGACGGTGTTAATGCCTTTAATAATGTGGCGTATTTGGTCGTTCTGAGACATGCCGGTGTTAACGCGCTTGCACAGTGCAAGGTCATCCTCAATATAAGAGGTGTAAGATTCACCCGGCAGCTGCGTGCGTTGAGCGAGTTTCTTCTTTGCTGCCTCTGTGTGAACTGCAGGGGCACCAAATATCTGACGAATTCGCTGCTCGAAAGTGTCCCAGTCGGGAAGATCCGGGTGGTGGTTCCAGAACCAAGTTTTCGCAACATCGGACAAGTAAAATGGGACGCTGCGCAACTTCTGTGGATTGTCCCACCTGTTCAAATCGCTGACGAGGTCGTAGTTCTTAATCCAGTCTTCGACATCATCGCCTCGGAGACCGGAAAACACAGGTGGATCTCGCAGGCGAGTGTTGTTGGGCGGAGCGGGTGGCGGTGGCTGCAGTAAGAGGGCGACGTTGGATGGGCCAGGGTTTTCTTGGGCCGCCATGGCAAGGGGTTGTATGCGACGACCCGAGCGGAGCTCCTGCGAGAACGGGCGAGAGGACTTGAGGGAACGAAAAGCACAGTCCACCACTTGTGAGGAACCGGTTTATTTGGCCAGGCTCGAGCTAAATCACGCTGGTGATGATATTTTTAGATGAAGAAGATGTACAGGTGATGATGATTACAAAGAGAATAAAGAGTCATTCGCTTGTCGCACTCACAATATACATAACTCATTAAGTTCAATAAAAGCGCTACATTTAAAATCTGAGTGCTAACCTTTACTAGGTGATATTCTACATATGATTGTTTCAAATAATGAGAATATGACTGTTCGTTTCTGCTGGGTTCCAGGCCACATAGGGATACCAGGCAACGAAAAGGCGGACGATTGTGAGTTCTTAGCAGCACAGACATCAGTTAAACAAAGATTCCCCTTAAAGACACCCTACGTACTATTCGTGTAGCATTATCATTAAAATGGCAGCAACAATGGGACTTCTGCATGAGTAATAAACTGCATTTGGTGAAGCCCACAGCGGGCGAATGAAAGTCATATGCTCACCAAGAACGATTCATTGAGGTCATTCTATGCCGACTCCGCATTGGGCACACTCACCTCACTCACAACTTTTTGCTTAGAAGAGAAGATTTGCCAGAATGGGAAAAATGTCAACAGCCATTAACGGTTTTACATATTCTAGTCACGTGTCCATACATTGAAGCAGAAAGACGAAAGCATTTCAGAGCACTATACAAACACCACACACCAATACACCTGAATCAAATTTTAGGAGATGATTCACTTGTTCCACTGTCTAACGTTATCAATTTCCTAAAAGAAAGTGGATTCCTCCCTAAGCTTTATGATTAAAATGTATATACTGGCTATCACTAGGTACCTTGTGTTTGGCACAGCTTAGCCCGAGTCACTCTTGCGCCAATAAACCCAATATAACTAACTAACTATCACACACTTGAGATGGTTTGGCCTGGTAAACAGAGAGGGTCTCTAAAGCTTTTCTAAATGCATTTGGTGGAAACTGTGCAAGTGCTGGAAACACGTAGTAGGCACCGTGTCTTAGACATCACATTTTAGATGGAAGGCCTGTGCACCAAGTCACAACACTTTGTAGCAGCTTTTCATTGCCAAAAGTTGCTGAGAACATAAAAATGTCGATGGCTAATGAAAGTTGCACTTGGTGAAACCTTCCCAGCATTCTCATTCTGCTTTTCCTGTTTGTGAGGTGGCATTACTCTTGCTCCTCAGTGTTGCTGCTCAATGGACTTTAGTATTTTTAGAGGTGGCTCAGACTGATAATGATCGTAGTATATCCACATGCTTTTATAATTAACCCCTGCAGTTATGAACACCTTTTAGTATAAACTTTTTGTGGCACCATGAAAAAGCTGGCTCCTTGGATGGTAGTTATCAGTCGTTGACAAATTATACTTTAATTTGGCCAGGACATGTTTTTTTTTTTTTTTTGCAGCAATGTCTGTGTCTGAAGTTACCTAATTATTCACAAGTAAGCTTGTACTACTAGTACATGTACTGTGGTTAAATTTTGTCTTTACCTGCTCGTACTGATGATCAAGCACCTGCGCTGTTTTTGAATGGCATTGGTGCAGCTGAAAAGGGAAATTTCTCTCTTGTTCATTGAAGTGTTAGCTATAGAATACTGTTTTAGATAGCTAACATGCTGTAGCATATGTTCGTATCTCTAACTTATGTAACAAGTCTTTTGATGCAAGCTGCACCAGCCCAGAACATATAGCATAAGCCTACTTAACACTATGAATGTCTGTGTGAGCTGGACGTAGTAATGTATCGTTTGCATTGTGATCACTTTGGCACAACTATTTAAACATCTTTGAGAAGAAGCTTGTGTTCAGTATGTTTTGCAGCGATCTTCTTTTTTTTTGTGCTGTAAAATTTCAATTCTGTCAAGGTAGCTTTAGAGCAAGTGCAACTGATGCAGCTATGCAACTGAATTTGTCCAACTTACTTTAAAAAAGTAGTGTGATCATTTGTAGTTTCACAACTGCAGGCATCTATTAAGTGTCGCTCATTGTGCCGATCTTGCATTATGATTACAGGCGACATGAGCCATGTTGAAAAGGAAATCAAGCGAACCATCATGGAAAGCTTCAAGAAAACAGACGAGGATTTTCTCAAGAGAGCAGCGAGTTACAAGCCTTCTTGGAAGGATGGCACCACAGCTGTTCTTGTGGTTGCCATTGACAATACACTTTACATTGCCAACCTGGGTGACAGCAAGGTGAGTGGCATTCATGATACGCTGCTTTAGCGGGCCAGCAGCTGTGCATGTTGGTAACTTTTTTAGCTCTGACATAGCTCAGTAAGATAGAGCTTTAATTGTCACTTGGGTAGATTGTTGGGCACCTGCTTACGATGCAGTCGACGTGGAAAATTATTTGTAGTTTTTTATGGCTGTCTATGGCAGCCTTTCCAAGTCTCTCACAAGTACTTCATTGTTTTCTTTTTTTTATTGCATTATCAGCAACAGTTTAGTGCCAGAGTAGAAAGCATTGTAGTGTATGTTCTTATTACTATTATTTCATGATATTCATTCTGATTCCATCACTATTCTCTAAGGCCATCCTGTGCAGATACCACGAAGAGTCGCAGAAGCACATTGCGATTCCTCTGAGCAAAGATCACAGCCCGACAGACTACGGCGAAAGGATGCGCATCCAAAAAGCGGGAGGATTTGTGAAGTTAGTACTGTTTGATGCTTTTTGTGATTGAGCGAGTACTGAATATAGCCAGCTTATTTGCAGTACCACCTTGCGATTTGTGCAGTGCTCATGATACACAAAACTTTTGCACACGGAAGTGCATTGCATAATTTGTCGCACATTTTGCAAATTTTCTTTTTCACTTGTTTCCTATTCTACACTTTTGCTTGTCTCATATGCTTTCATACTCAAATTACGAGAGGAACACTGCTGTCTAATTTGTGCAACTTTCAATGTTAATGCAGTACCCCAACTAGAGCGTGGTGCACTTGTGACATGTTCGCCCGTATCGCACTTTTAGTTTTGTTCGAATGCTTTGTTATTCTTTGGGTTCATCCAAGGGGCAGGAGCACCAGGATTCATGGCATGTTGCATTAGTTTGTTCAAACTGCAACATGTTCAAAACAATATGTCACACCACTTCTCTTTTCAAAGAAAAATAACAGGCAATTACTTTGTAAAACAACAATATGAGATGAAGTGCCATTGTCACTGTTCCATTAAACATTCCAGGTTAGCTGTACAATCGTTTAATTTACATAACTCACTGTTGGCTTTTCGTTTCACAAGCTGTGTTGGCGAGTACATGGTTGAGAGAATTACCGACCTTTATGTTAGCATCAACTTTGTAAAAAAAAGGCCACAGAACACCAGTTTTGTGGTTGTCATGTTCCAGGAGATTTAAATTTTGCAGCAAGCAACACTGCATCAATATCACTTTCAATCAATACACCTTTACTTGTGTATTTGCTATCTTAATTAAGAGCTCTTTACCAGGAAGTGGCATTGTGAAGCTAAATCGGATTTAGCTTTCATCGGCATGCCTGTTTTTTGCGGGACGCTTGCTAACAAGCTAGGTCCACCTGTAGGTGTTGTGGGGTCTCGGCGAGGCGAACGAGCGCAGCGTTACGCCACGCTCTTGGAGTGAACGGACACAGCAGACGCGGTCGGTACAAACCAACAACATATACACGTTTATTTGCCTAATTTATGACGACGATATCGTCCGCCGAATGTTACATCAATTTTAATTAACACGCTACCATACAAACAACATAACGCAGTGACACACTAAACACACAATAACATGATAAACGCACACTAACACACCCAACACACTAACACATACCCAAGGCGGCGTCGCCAACGCCTGACTTTCCACGTGGGACCCCGGCGCGAAGCCCGCGGTGCCGAGCACCGGGGACCCACGCTACAGACAACCGTTTGCGGCAGCCACCACGCGCAGAAGAGGCTCGCTCAACTCTCACCCACCACCAAGGCCTGCCTTCTGCCAGGGGCCACCGCCGGCGCTACCACTCTACCAACAGTGGTACTCAAAGCGGACACAACGCCATCTATCGCCCGGCGGTGGTCACCACCGAAATAAAAAGCCCTGCCGCGGTGGTCTAGTGGCTAAGGTACTCGGCTGCTGACCCGCAAATCGCGGGTTCAAATCCTGGCTGCGGCGGCTGCATTTCCGATGGAGGCGGAAATGTTGTAGGCCCGTGTGCTCAGATTTGGGTGCACGTTAAAGAACCCCAGGTGGTCGAAATTTCCGGAGCCCTCCACTACCGCGTCTCTCATAATCATATGGTGGTTTTGGGACGTTAAACCCCACATATCAATCAAATCAACCACCGAAATAAAGCCTTGGGGCGAGACACGTGCGCCACGCGGCGCAGACAACTTTACACAGGGGGTGTCAGCACCCCCACATTCCCCCAACCTTAAATCAAACCATATCCCGAAATCAAAAATTAGCTACACAAGCTTTAACAAAAAAAATGATATCGCACGACCATAATGTCCTTGCACCACGACACCGCCGCTGGTCGACACTGCTGCACTGTCCGGCTAGACTTCACCTTAGTACCGGCCCCGCAACAGCAACGTTGCCGTTGGCGCGACGATCCGTCGCTAGCGCCGGCACGTCTTCCAGCTGTGACCAGCGCTCGCGAGGGCGCTGGACTGCAGGCAGTTGCGCAGGTCCCAGGCATCTCCATCGCCCGACCTCACGACCGCATTCCTGGCCAGCGACGCTGACGATGTGCAGAACAGCCGGCCGTGGATGACATCCCTCCCACTGAATACATCAATAACAACAAAAAAAAACTTGAAAGAAAACAATCGAGCAGGTCCTCGGGAAGGGAGCTTCGAGCTTTTCGTCCACGTGGTACGTTGGTCAGTACTGCTACCTAATACATCGGTGGGGGCTGAGACGCCCATCAAATTAAAACAAAAATCACTTTTCCTAACTCGTGCTCACAAGAAAAAAAAAAAAGTGAGGGAAGCAGAGCGCAACACCTCAACGCCACGATCCACCTAGTTGTGCCACGTGCGATAGGCGGCTGCGCAGAGCCTTAGGCCTAATGAGTCGCTCGGCAACAACCGGCATCCACCCAGCCTAGGCGCAGAAGAGGTAGCCGCGAGAAGGCGTCCACTCTGTGAGGTGGCCCTATCGCTCGCCGCACACAGCAGCTTACAGAGCGATCGGCGTCCACCGCCCCGAGCGGTGTCACGACGCCTCGGCGTCGAGCCGCAATACCAGACAGCAACGACGCCCGGCTCCCTGAGCCCAAAGATATAGAAGGAGCTATTTACAGAAAATCGGACTACCCACGAGGCTTCCGTACTCACTCGCTTCGGGCCTGGCCTACAAACCACGTGCTCTAGGCCTTGCTCACCCCAGGATGCGGACCACATGGCTCTCGTCCTAATTCAACAACGTTTTTGAAAACTAACAACAAAAAAATAACAACACTTGCGAGCAAAAAAAATAAATAGAAAGTCAACCTGCCGACAAATTCAAACACGTTACAAAACCAATCTCCTCGCTTCTCAGCAAAGCACACAACCGACGCTAGCAAAGAAGTCCCCCCTAGGCCTACTCTACTCCGGCTCTAACAAAATCCCTGTATTGAACCGCAAAAGCTGTCGTCCGATACTCCAAGAGCCCCACGTTGGGCAGCCAGTGTGGGGTCTCGGCAAGGCGAACGAGCGCATCGCCACGTCACGCTCTGGGAGTGAACGGACACAGCAGACGCGGTCGGTATAAACCAACAACATATACACTTTTATTTGCCTAATTTATAACGACGATATCGTCCGCCGAATGTTACATCAATTTTAATAACACGCTACCATACAAACAACATAACCCAATGACACACTAAACACACAATAACATGATAAACACACACTAACACACCCAACACTACTAACACATACCCAAGGCGGCGTCGCCAAGGCCTGACTTTCCACGTGGGACCCCGGCGCGAAGCCCGCGGTGCCGAGCACCGGGGACCCACGCTACAGACAACCGTTCGCGGCAGCCGCCACGCGCAGAAGAGGCTCGCTCAACTCTCGCCCATCACCAAGGCCTGCCTTCCACCAGGGGCCACCGCCGGCGCTACCACTCTACCAACAGTGGTACTCAAAGCGGAACACAACGCCATCTATCGCCTGGCGGTGGTCACCACGGAAATAAAGCGTTGGGGCGAGACACGTAGCGCCACGCGGCGCAGACAACTTACACGGGGAGTGTCAGCACCCCCACAGTGTACTACATTCTTACTTTTTATCGTAATTAAAGTGGGCTGTTCAAACTTGGAACATTTACACAACACAACTGCGACCATTTCTGGGAAAAGTAACGTTTGAATATGTAGTAATGAAACAAAAGCTTGAGTTTCTGACCGAGTGATGATGTTACAACAAGGCCGTTCTAGAGGATTTATTCCGGCTAATCTCGCTCTTCTGCTGAGCTGTACCAGAATGAATCACTCACTCTATGGGTGCACTTCTACACGTCGACCTCTGAAGCATGGGCTGCATGCTGCAGATTCTCTGCTACTTCAAGATTAATAAATTTTGGTCGCTTACAAGTTTCGTGTGACATACCTAGTAACATAATCTGCTACAGTTCAAATTTTTTTCGCTTACACTTTAGTCGACTAACAGCTGCATCATAGAACATGTAATGAAAATGTGAAATGCAAATGATTGAAACTACCATCATCATAATCATTTTTGGCCTATTTGTGCTCTGCAGGACGAAGACCTCTGCTATTGATCGCTCCCAACACCTTCATCAATGACTGTCATGTTACGTGTTGTTGTGCTGCTTTGTTATCCCCTTTGCAACTGTTGACAAGTATAGTCGTGCAATTTTGTAACTAAATTGCTGGTAACCATTATACTCGTCATCAACCAAAGCTGGTCCCACACAAAACCAATGAAGACTGTAATTGTTATTCTTGTCTTTTTTTTTTTTTTGATGCTAGATGGCCACATTTGTGCTGGGCCATTTGTGCTGGGCCATTTGTGCGTTGGCCTTCATTTTATTGCCATCTTTTAAACTGTATTGTCATGCACTGAAGCCACTTATGAGTAATATTTTTTATGCATTTAGTGATGTAAGAAAATGAAAAATTGGTGCCATATTATTTGGAAAAAATCCTACAAATTTACTGAAAAAAAAAGTAATTCTGGCACATTTTGTTTCTTATGGTAACAAAGATGTTAAGCCACCAGAGACCTTTGAGAAACAGAAATCAATAAATTTTGCATGCAGGGACGGGCGAGTGCTAGGTGTGCTGGAGGTGTCTCGCTCTATTGGTGATGGCCAGTATAAGCGGTGTGGTGTCAGCTGCCTCCCAGATGTCATGCGATGCCAGCTGACGCCAGCTGACCGTTTTCTTGTGCTTGCCTGTGATGGTCTCTGGAAAGTCTTCACATCAGACCAAGTTCTTGCAAGTGTGCTTGCTACTTTACAGGTGGGTGCCTCTTCCATGCTGCTGCTTGATTGGATGCTGTTATAAACATCAAAGGTACACTGAAGTGAAACAGTGAACTCATAGATAGAGATAAATGTTGCAGAAATGTTGATAAACAATACATCTAAATAAATTTTACAATCATTGGTTAATTGTAGAAAATTGATTAAGCTCATAGCTACATCTTTGAATGAGCTAAGCTCCTGTGCCCGAATGTCATCGTGGCATTACAGTTTTTTTTTTTTCTCGTATTTTGGTCACATTAGCTCAATAACGTTTTTTGAAACTTGCTGTGCTGTCTTTGGCTCCCAGAAGAAAATTTATTTTGGGGGGCACGGGAGGGGCTACTTTCGCTCTGCTACTGTTAGTGTCGGCAATCTCGCAGCTAAAAGCGAGCAACGTTGGGCTAGGTACGTAACCGCTACGTTGGGAGGTCTGTTTTCAGGCTTGTGTTTTGAAATGTACTAACGCTGTGCGAACCACTAAAACGTGATTTTATTTCAAAATAAGCATTTCCTTTGGCACTGAAAGTAGCACTACGAGGTTTCTGGACCACTATTTCAGCAGTCAACATTGAGTAAATATTTGCCTTTAGTGTCTCTTTAAGGTGGCTAAAAACAACAATTACAGCAGTAATTATAGAAACCTAATTGACTAATTTGTTAATCAGAGGAGATGGGTGGTTATGTCATAAAGGAAAAATTGCAGGAGGCAGCCCTTTGCTGTTTTGAAATCTCCAAAAATCAGCTACTGGTTTTAGCAGAGTAATGACATCAGACCACTCTCACTTGTGAAAGCAGCATACCAAGGAACACAACTGCCATACTCATCCAAACCCTCCAGACTGAGTGCGAACATGCGTGTGTGTGAGTCATCCTTTGACCTGGTTAGCTTGATATTTGTAGAGGCCTGCGCTTGGCATGAGAGCACACATGGTGCGTGCAGATTGATGAGCGCAAAACTAACACCACTGCAATCATTGTCAAGAGTAGGGACGTCATCGAAGTCGTCTGCCAAGGTTATGGCAGTTGCACACACCGGCAGTTCAGTTTGGCCGGCGGATGCGGTGGAGCTTTGCAGCACCATAACGGCACCATTTTCTTTTTTTTTTTTTTTCATTGGGTACATGTCTCAGGTGCGATTCACGCTCCCTGTACCCCATTTTCACATTCCATTTTCCGACGCTCTCCATTTTCACATTTCTGGTGCAGGATGAGACAATAGCGGCTGAAGGGGACAAGAAAAGGACACTGGAGCTGCGATACGAGGCTGCCTGCAGCAAACTCGCCAATGAAGCTGTGCGGAAGCTGAGCGGAGACAATGTCACGGTTGTCATAGTTCACATTGACCAAGGCAGGCAGTGAAATGCTTGTGCAGCTTTCCGGGTATCGTTCACTGTTCGGTTCCCCACAGGCTCTTATGCTAGCAATATTGCTTTTCCTTCAGCCTCGTGTTGTCTTCTTTTTTTTTTCCCCAGTTTTTCTTCTCCTATTGAGACAGTCCCTGCATCTCTTGCTCATTTTCATGGTGTTTTTCATTATTTTTTAAATGCTGACAGTTGTCTCATTTCTTTTGTGTCATGGAAGTTCATTGTTTTATTTTTTGGGAAACACATAGGCAAGTGTTACTCACTAGTTTGTAAAGAAATTTGTGAACGAGTCTTGGGGTGTTAATTATTGAATAAATATAGGCGCACAAGTTCACTGTGGTTCCATTCAATGTGCTCGAGTTCATCAGAAAAAAAATGGTTGTAATGCAAAAAATAGAACTCTGTACAGAGGAATGTATCGACGACAATGCTGTTGCCACATTAGCTTCCTTTCATTGTCACTCAACACTGCCTGTGCAAATTTCTGTTCATCACACAAATCTCGTGTTGGCGCACATTTGTCATGGGTTCCATGCTGATTTAGTTGTGAAGGAAAATATTTTTAGAAAAATATTAGCATGTGCAGGCTCCTAACGGAACTTAGAAGTACAATGAAAAAACATGCAATGTGTTGTCTATGGCAAATATGGCAACCGTTTTGATAGGTCTACATTTCTTCATTTTGCTTTGTCGTACTTTGTACTTTGATAGCTTCTACCTAATTTGTGTGTGCTTGTGTGTGTATGTGGCAATAAAGAAATGGGGGCAACATTTGCTTCCAACCTATATAGTAGTGAATGTCAAGGAAAGCAATGATCATTGAATGCTTGTTTTTTTTTTCTTTGATTAGTATATGCAACATTTACCGTTTTATTCATTGATTCTTGTGGAGCATTGATCATGCAGCGTCGTTTGAAAGGCTGCCTCTCGTGGGAGTGCTTTCTTATATACTTATGCACCGATCGTGTGGGAGTTTTCTAGCAAAGGATGTAATGCGACACTCATTTATTTTTCATGTTTTTTCCATCTTGAAGTTTACACATCCCTTTTATGTGCTGCCTGTTCCTTAAAGGTTGCCCTTTAGGCAGCTGCACACATTGAAAGATTTCTGGTCAGTGGCTTGTTCTTGCAATGCCTCATTTGCCTGTTGGAATTACTGAGCTGAGCTCCTTGTTCACGCTGTGGAAAACGCACACCCTATCTTCCTATTTTTATTTTCTGTGATGGAAGTGATATGCGACGTATGCAATGCTAAAGTGTTTTGAATTGTCAAAACTATTGCCTGTATTCTTTGCAAAATGTTATGTAATAAAGGAACATACATTGCCACATAGTGAGGCCTGTTTCTTGTGATAATGTTACCCCTTCAGTGCTAATACATTGAGGTCAGTAATCTTACAAGAACCTTTTACAGAATAGCATACAGTTTTTCTTATAGCTAAACTTTAAAAAAAAACTTGACTGTAGTTCACCAACAGTCTCAATAGCCGAGACTGTAGTTAAACACCATCTTGGAAATCAGAGTTTGATAGTGCCAAGGTATTCTTGAAGTACTCTGTTTCTGTAAATAAGCATTCTGCAAATAGTGCAGAGTATGTCATTTACCATGCTTTAATTTAATTCGTGCATATGTAGTGGTTCGGTAATTTGGCACAGCATGGTATGCCTTGTAGGGCTCTGTTGGCTTGGTTGGTAGTACTACATTGAATTGCACTCTCAACCAAATTATTCACTTCTTGAGGCAGCCTATGAAAGAATGTAGAAAACGCATCACCAGGTTTAATATGGCTAAAGGACATATTTGCTGGACCTCTTTCTGTGTTGTATTTTTGTTGTAGTCATCGGCAACCTTATAACACAAACGCTATGATGTGTGACCTGGACAAGTTTGACCGAAGTAAGCCGCAAAACGGTGGGCGCTGTTGCTGAGATAATACCTCGGTATGGTTGGACAGCACGTCAGAATGCATGGGTATTATCTCGGCAAGAGAACCCAAAGCTACGCGGCACTAGCATCAATCAAACTGTTTTAGGACACACTGCGGAGCACTTGTGTTAAGATTGCTGAAGACTGTGCATGCAGCAGAGATGCCGGTATAACATAAATAATGAAAGTCTTAGGCATATCACGAGTTATTTACTATTTTATTAAATCTTAAAGGCAGCTGTGCAGTTTTTGCAACTCTCTTCATCTTTTTAGTGTGTTTTCTGCATGTGCTTATTTTGCAATTCCGAAAATAATGCATATAATTGTCAGTCAACATTTTGCAACTGAGGCTTTTGCTCTGCAATATACTGTGCTGTCTGTGTTTAGTTCGCACGCATCTTCTAAATGACTTATGCAGGTTTCATTGCACAAGTGATAAAAAATTTCATATTCAGTTCTCTTCACACAGTCATAAGCCCTATAAATGTAGCAATGTTTGAAAACTGTTTTCAAGAAAATTACTACACAAATTTCTTTTTTCTATTGGTTAAAGAATTGGGATACACTTTAACTCCACTGTCATGCATAAACTTGCCAATGTGATCCAGATTGAATTTCATCACAATTGAATGAGTTCCATGGAACCCATACTAACTTGGGTCATGTTCAATCATGATTTAGTGTATCGGTGGTAAGTCCAAATAACTTGTGAGTACTGTGAAATAGCATATAAACAGTTTTAAAACCCTCTTTCACTCTCTCATTCACAAATGGAGAGTCATGCCTATGTTTATTAAAAAATATTTTGCTTGTCTCTATGAGCAAACATTTAATCATTAATAACCTGCAACTTTTGATGCTTGGTGTCATAACTAGAAAGAGTGATCTAAAAATTATTGTACAAGTAAACTTAGATATTTTTTTCTTACAGCGTAGAGAGCTTTTTAAGTTTATACTATTTCTTTACCATTTTCTTGTATATTTTCTTCACCACTTCTTTGTACACTGAGCTTAAGTATACAGATGTCAATTAAATCACATTCTAGGATTCCAGGAGCTCAGATGTGGTGCACGTGTTGGATACTCTCATTTTGGTGAGGCTGAATTACAACTTCGTGACACTGACGTGAAATAATTTGATGGAAAGGCTTTACTCAATTTTAACCACAAATAAAGAGTAAGTGTTGCTGAACAGGGCTCCATGTTAAAACTAATTGAACCTTAGAATACCAACACCTTGTAGCTTTTATGAATCATGCCATCTTAAGTTTCTAAGGCATATTGCCCTTGTTGTACAGGCCCTTCCAGCTACTGCACTCCTCTGGGCAGCAGTCTAACAATATTTAACCAACACTCTATCATAGCCAAGCACCCTTTTTTTGCATATGGACTGCAAAAAAAGGGATACGTACAAGACTTTTCTTCTTTGTGCACCCAAAACTTGCAAGTGCCATAATGCTTTCATGCATGCTTATCAAAATGTTCTCATTCTCCACTGAAATTTACAACCTGCAGATGACAAATAAGAGCTAGGGTAAATACAGTGGATTCTTGGTGCAATGTATTTCGTTTAAACCAGAAAATAAGAAAACACATTGTGAAAAAATCGTATTAACCACACAAGTTACAGAAAAGGAAGAATGTATGCATACTCCATCAGTAACTCATTTTTATTGAGCAACATTGAAGTAGCTGGTCAATTCGCACTGCATCATCTTGTTTTCAATGTCCAGCAGTGAATTCTCAAAAGTAACTAAGGGAGCTCGTATACTGAAGAATAAACATAGTATTTCTAGACATATAAGTCAATATCCTTTTTCGTGGTCGTATTGCCCAATTTTGGGGAAGAAATTGCACCGTATTAACCAAATGAAAATCATTTCCAAGGGATGTTCGCCGGGAATAACAAAAGTAAAAACGTGTATTAGGCCGAAAAACGCATCATGCGATAACGTATCAACGAGATTCCACAGTAGTGTATGCTGGCAGTGACCAAGCATGTGAACTCGTTGTTGTGTTTTCATAATCCCCGAGGTGTGCTCCTGAAGTTGTCTGTAGCGACTTTGTGGTTTCTCCCGTTTGATGAGGGGGATATATTACTCAGCGCCAGCAAGGAAATTTAAGAGAGCTCGCTCAGCAAATGAATCGTGTGGCTGCTGATGTTGCAAGCGGCGAACGGGTCGGTGCATTGCGCGAAGTGAGGCACCTCTCGTGCATGGTGATGTGGACAGCGCTCGTCATAGGTATCGCTCGGACTTGCTCGGTGGGACAAGCCGCGGAAACGAGGAAGCGAAGCTGCTGACGTCAAGCTACGCAGCGGAGCGCCGTGTAGACGCGTTTCGCATGAGAGAGACGTTTTAAAAATCCAGCGGGAGGTCTCCCCCCAAGGGAGAGTGGTGCCGAGCGCACGTAGCGGCTCGGCTCCAACCGCTGCCCGAACTAAAAGCGTACAGTGGATCGTGCGGGCACAATTATTTCAACCACGTATTCCCAAAGGCATGCATCGTACCTGCGCGTTTAACCCGCGTTATTCGCTGTTGCCGCGCCGTCCGATTTGGTTGTGGGTGGTTGTGGTGAGAGCAGACGACGTCGATAACGCTGCGCATGAGAGCTCCAGTCGACCGCTCTCCCGATTGGCCAACGCCGGCTGCAGCCTCCGCAGCGCTGCACGGTATTTGGCGAGATAGAGAGAGAAAAGAGAGTGCGAGAGGCGAGGAAGAAAAGCGCTCGCCGCGAGCGGCCGTCCGCCAGTAGTGCGTTGCGCTTCTTCGGGCCCTGCGGCAGACGCACGTTTTCTCTGCGCAGTCCGCGCGTGCAGACGACGCGAGCTTACTTTGGTGACGTGCAGGAATGGCTGAAGAAGAGCTGTCCGAGAAGTTTGCTCGCCGGGAGGCGATCGAGAGGGGCGAGATCAAGGATCTGAAAGTGAGCGAAGGATTCAACCCTTACATCGAGTTTTCGCGCAAGGAGATCAAGGAGTACGAGAAGCACTTCAAGAAGTGAGTGTTTACAGCCTAACGCTTCTCTTGCGATTCACTTTCTTTTTTTTTCTTGTTTGCTTGCTTGTTTCTTTGCGTAGCACTGCTGGAATACCGTATATGCAGCCGTGAGTCTGATTTTTGTGGAGAGTTGACCCAGTGGAGACACTTGGTGACAGTCGTGTGCGACTTGGCGACCACGTGCCCATGCCTGCATGCAGATATTACACTTTCGTTTTACTTGATATGTCAGCTTGAAATAACATTTATATACCATGGTCTGACGTACGCTGTCATTTTCGTTTTCGTTTTCTTTAACATACCAAGCTTCGTCTGGCGAAGCGTTCTTTGGACCACTGCTTGCTAACAACATTGCAATGTGTGGTGAATGATTTGGTTTTGAATGCAGTGAAACGGAAGCAGGCTGGCTATTACTGGGGCAATTGTTTTCAGGAGCTGCCTAACACATATACTCTGGTATTATTATTATTATTATTATTATTATTATTATTATTATTATTATTATTATTATTATTATTATTATTATTATTATTATTATTATTATTATTATTATTATTATTATTTAGATATACGAGCTAGGGTCGAGGCATCTCTGTGCGCAGTTTGACAACACATGCAGCTTGCGTGTTGCAAACAGCAGGTTCATCCGTTTCGCAGACGTTTTCGCCGAGAGCGTTGAAAACTGGGCCGGACGACATCGAATTCTCAAATTTGTTGCCGCCCTGAAGCAAGGTTGGAAAGGAAATTCTGTTCAGAAAGCAGCGATTGAAGCTATCCGTGAAGCAATATTTTCCGAGCTAGCAGAAGAAAAAAAAAGTAAGCGAAAGATTCTTGTTCTCGGGGGAACGCACGCCGATCGCCCCCGCTGAATGCGTCAACTTTCTCGTGTGTTTTTTCACAAGGACGAGATCAGCATTTACTATGAGGTACAATGTCTTCATCTCAAGAGGGGGGAAAAAGGAGGGGAAAGAAGGAACATGAGGGTCATTTTGTCCACCGGTGCCGCAGGTGCGTCCGCATGAGCCGAATGTATAAACACTGATTGTACGCGTAGGTGTTCTTGTGAGTAAGCCGCTCCAAACGGAATAAAACGGCCGCGGCAAACGGAAAAAGGTGCACACGGCATTACGCCCTCTGTGTCCATACCACACTACAACAAAGTTAGCGTTCACCTGCGACTTACCTCCGTAATTGCCTTTACAGCTGCGTTGCAGAACGGGCGCCGACATTCCGTTTCAATTCCATTCCGGGCAATTAGAACTTGCCCGCAATTCCATTGCTTTCAATTCCTCGGAATGAAAAAAAAAACTTCGCCCATTGCCACTCCGAGAATGGCCGGGGAGTTCAATTCCATTCCTGTAATCCCTCAATGCAGGAAATGCATTATGATGGCTTTATCGAGTTATG